CTGTAGCGGTATACCATGGTGTAGCCAGTGTACCCCATTTTGAGACACTGCAGCTGCTCCCAGTCCCAAGCATCAGGGAATCGGAAGACATCTTTTGGTTGGGGGTACCCTAATGACTAACAGTTTGCGAACTTGAACATGGCCAATTTAGTTCGTTGATCTACCCAGAAAAAAGATGGTGATTTTCCTATGTTAGTTTACCATAGGGTACATCTGTTTGTAAATTGATGGCGATACCAAACAAGACAAGGTCAAAGCATGTCAAGCCTATTGTTTGATCATCCTGTAAAAATGAGCTTCCCCATCAACACTATGAACAAATGGTCCAAAAAATGTCCTAACTATCTTAACTGAGGTTTTCCAATCAATCAACACCTGATTTGTCTAAGTTCGAAATCCTTGACTTTGCTGAAGGGGTCCTACAAAAAAATGAAGCATAGTCCCTATAGATTTCCCAGTCATGGTGGATTGTCCATTGGGAAAGTAAAAAAATCACCTTGCACACCCAAGAATCTCTAGAGATTATCAATGGTTATCATGTATTTCTCTCGAAAATTCCGGCCATGTTTCATTCCCCAACAAGTGGCAACTCTTTTTTTGTTGTGCCACAACCGTCGGTCGTTTCCGGACCCGACCGCACCTTCTGTCTCAGCTGATCCCGTAAGTGGAAGTGATAGCCTGGTCCCAGATCTTCAGGTTTCACCTCACGGCGGGCCGACGAAAGGAAAAGCCACGAGGAAATAACTACTTGGTGGCGAACTACCCACGGCGAGTTAAAGTGGGTTAGTGAACTACCCAGTGATTGACATGGGATAAGGAGCGGGTTAATCCACTTATAACTGGGGTGAACTAACCCACATACGATTCGTGGGATGAGCCGCCAAGTATACAAAGTGGGGCCCCCGTTTACGAAATCGCTAAGTTGGTTCACATAACTCCAATTTCACAATGGTTTATGGATGTTTATGGTACTTATAACGAACTAGTTATTGGGGCTTATCTAAACCAACGTTCACATCACGTAGCTGGGGGCCCCACATTCATTGTAGGAAAGATATTAGGAGACAACTTATGCAAGGTCCCAGGGTGATTTCATGGGATATCGACGATGCTTTAAACATGGGGAGGTTCCATGAAATCATGGGATATCACCAATTTATATCCCATGACGGATCCGGCTGGTGCTGGTAGAAAAATGCAAAAAAATGACTGGGGTTTCTGTTGATGGGATCCATGGCACACCATATATAGCAGCACCATGGATTCGTCATGCGTATGGATGAAGTTTTTGAGAAAATTTCATGGAAAATCCGAAAAGAACATGGATGATTTCTTCGGGGTACCAATGGATTAGAAAGCTCCACATAGCCGTCCCCAACCACAGCTTGGTTTGGCACCAAACATGGGGACGAAAAAGATCACGTCTCCTTTTACTGGATCCATTGAAAATGGTTCATTCTGATGTTCTGATATATTCCAATATTCAATATTGCGTGCTGATGACTCTGCCTGACAACATCTAATTTTGAATATGGAAGGAGTACGCAGCATTCCAAACGGACTATTCCACGGTTCACGCAGGGTACTGGTACTGCTCATGACCCTACTGATCGTCTGATCGTCTAGAACGGCTCTTTGGATAAGAGAACACTCAACTGCCCAGACTGTTCACTAGTAATAATCACAATCCCGGTTGATTGATGTTATACCATCGAATCCAACTTATAATCTGGATATCCATACAGTATTATCCCAATATATCCCCATTCATTTACAGTATATTGATATATCCCTGCTAACATCATGCAACATATCCCACAAACAATCCCCAGTGTCAATGGCAAAGTCTAATCCAACCAACTTCTTAGTGCGATTTTTTCCGGGACCCCTAGAAAAAATGGGATTCCCATTCTGCCACATTCCCATACTACTCCCATGTTCGAAACCTCCAAAAAAAAACGGCCCTGGGGGGTCCCATCCAGTCCCAAGGCACCAGGAGATAGGTGTGCAGATCCAACAAGAAGAACATGGTCGCCTCAGATCCAACGATTTTTGGCAGCGCCAGGGGATCCAAAAATGATCTCAGAACATGTTTTCGAGAATCTCAGAAGGGCGCCTTTCTATCGCTTTGTTTGTGTTTTCCAAACAAAAGTCCAACTATACTTAAAATGTCATAAACCATGGTTATTGGAGGTATAAATCATGGTTTATAAGCCTCGAAATACTATCTATAGTTATAAGTTATAAGATGTTATAAGTACCATAAACCATCTGGTTGGTGGTGCAATAATCATCTTGAAAAATGATGGAGTTCGTCAATGGGAAGGATGACATCCCATATATGAAATGTATAAATGGAAAATAAAAGCCATGTTCCAAACCACCAAGCAAGAAATTTCTTTGGACTTCTTCCAAACTATATGATTCTGGTAAAGTTATACTGTGGACTACTATGGTTTTCCCAACATCTCCACTATCAATGGATTGCTTTAAAAGGGAACATCAAAAAAACCCGAAAACCATGGATTTGACCATAAAAAGATTCCCTTTGTGACTTTCCGGTTCCTTAATTTTCCCGACAAAACCAATCCAATGTAACTATACTTATAAGATTGTTATAAGTATCATAAACAAACATATAAGTTGACTTTCCCCAAAAAATTAGAAAACTTGTTTTTGTTTGAGCCCCAGTAATAACGAATGTTCGTTACAAGTTATATGTATCATAAACCAGTTCGTGAAATTGGAGTCATTTACCACCTTAGCTATCGTTTGGGGGCCCCTTTGTACAGGATTGTGGGTGAACATCAACCAATCATAAACCAATCATAAACCAATCATAAACCAATCATAAACCAATCATAAACCAATCATAAACCACAGTTGGTGAACATAAACCAGTTCGTGAAATTGGAGATGTGGCCTCTAACTTTCCAGTGCCAATTTTCCCAAACCAAACCGTTCCAATGTTCTTCGCCGGACATGACGACTTTTCACCCAGCCGTTGCGCCCGTTGCGCCTCCGCACCGTTTTGGAAGCCGGCCAGGCGTTTTTTTTTGGATCTCTGTAAGGGGAGATCCCAACGTTGTCGACGCTGAAAATCACTTGGTGTTTCTGTTTTTATTTACGTACATGAATTTAACTCTGATTCATAACTCCAAGTTCACTATGGTTTATGAACGTTTATGATACTTATAATATCTTATAACTACTTATAACTATAGCTATATCTTATAACTATAGCTATATCTTATAACTATAGCTATAGTGAGGATGTTTTTTTTTGAGCAACGTTCACATCACTGGAACTCTTAAGACTCTGCGAAGGCAGTGAAGGCAGGTTCCAAGATGTACACGATCTGAAAAACGGTCTCAGTTTAAGTACGTGCAGGTTTAAGTTTCTGAGAAGAGGTTTCATAGTTTCTATATGTTTATCATCGTTTTTTTCTATGGGCAAGTGGTGGTGGTTAAGCCGTGTGAAAACGCCACTGAAGCTGCCACTTGCATTGCAGTTCTCAAATGGCACTTTTGGGATGATCTTGCCCTAAGCTGCTTGGAGCCAAGATTGCCAACATGTGACAGACACTATTTTTGGGCACATGAACAAAGTCGTTCTCTATTGGGGTTACCTGATTACATACCCTCCAGTAGTCAAATTAATGGCAATGGAAATCCAATAAATTAAGATTCAGATGGTCGTGAAAAAAGCTATAAACCTCCATTTAGTGCGGGGATTTCGCAGCTGGCCACATTTTACTGTTTACCGGAGGCTACTTCTCATGGATATGATAACATATGATAACCCCCAGTCAATGTGCATTTTGTGTGATACCTTAATCATGAATGCTTGGCACCTGTGAAGAGTGACGGATGACACATATCGAAAATGATGAAAACCGTGTCCAAAACGCAATTGTCGGCTGGGTTACCCTCTGGTAATTCAACATAGCTGTGCAAACCATGGCCCTTTTAGTTCGATGATTTACCTGTCAAACATATTTTACTATGTTATTGACCGGCTTACCAAATTTCCCCCCCAGCCATGGAAGTAGGAGATCTTCACATCAGCATGAGTCAAAACATGGCCCCATCTGTCACTTAAAAGTTCTTGGACTGGGACCGCATGGACCGCATGGAGGTGCCTGCTTTCCCCATGCCAGCAGCAGCAGCAGCAAATCGCAAGCTCCATGATTTTCTTGCAAAGATGGAAATTCAACGAAAATGATGGGAATCGAAAAATCAGGAGCCCCATGGGAGCCATCCATTTTGTCCTTGGTTTTGCATGTGAGTTTGACGATCTTCTACCAGAGGGCCTCCCGATTTTCCATTCCCAAGCTGGATCATGGCCCATGACCAGTGGCACCCAACATATCGATCAACATTGGGCAGTAGGCTAGTCACGGGGAAATCCGATCGTGTGGGATGGTTCTTTTCAGAAAATGGAACCTGCCAATACATCTTGGCCACAAACCTATACTCTACAGACTCTACATCTCTCTCCCCCTCCTTAATAGCAGATTAAAGTCGCCACGAGTGTGGGTTCAAAGTTTAAAGGAACAACATGTTTTGTTGAAATATGTTGAAATCAAAACCCACATGGTTCTGGGCCATGCTTGTGAACTTGCACAAATTTTGGTGCCATGGCTTTTCGGCTGACAGCTTTGTACATGGGTTTGTCCAAAAACGGTCTGTCCTTGATCCTTATTGAGATTGACATTATGGTACATATCACCCTTGGGAGTTGCCTCAAGACAATTGTACTAAGTCTTTTCCATGGTTTCCATGCTGATGGATTTCTTCAGACTTTCACCAAACATCATTACAAAATGGGGCCCCCTTAAACGAAATCGCTAAGTTGGTGTTCACATAACTCCAATTTCACTATGGTTTATGGTACTTATAACGAACTAGTTAAATTGGGGATTATAAAATATTATAAACCACCGTTCACATCACGTGGCTGGGGGCCCCACATCAATGAGGTTTTGGACAAATCACCATCAATCCAACAACGTGGAAGGCTGCCAAGCCGGTCGCGAAGGTACCTCCGGGATCACTAGGATGACTGGGATGGGAGATGGTGAGATACGGATAGCATGGATCTATGGATCTAGGAGAACTAAACCGTCAGATATCTCTATAGAAAATAATCATGAGGTCATAACTTATAGGAACTACATTCTTGAAACAACCTATATATAGATTTATAAGATGGATCTTTGTTAGATATGTGTATAAAAGATATGCTATTTGTTATTGCCTTGTTATTAGCAAGATTGAGTCCATGTTAGAGATACACTCCTATTCTAGATCTTATTTTGCCGCTTCTCCACTTATACTGAAGAATACATTTGCTCTGAAACTGGAAGAAGTCAACCTTCTGCGAGGCCCCAATTCCTAGGGTTAGTAAGTCCCCAATTCCTAGGGTTATCTCTGTATGAGGGGTTCCCAAAATATGGGTATCCCAAACCATTGTTTTATTCCCTTTGATCATAACACATCATAGCTAATTTTAGATGATTTGGGGTTACCCATGTTAGGCAACCCCCCAAAAAATGTGGATGTTTACCCCATAATTGCCGAGGAACAATGGTCAAAATGCTTCTCGACACTATGCTCAAAGCCTATCGACCTTCATGAATTTCACCTTCTGCCGCCTCTCAAGACCCATCAGTTCATTCGGGACCACGCCTTTTAAGGTGTACTTGTGAAGGCTATCACTCTCAACTGGTTTGGAGTCCGCATCAACCCAGTTTCACGGCGTTTCACAGGCTGCCATAAACATCATATAAACATCATCCAAGCATTGGAAACACCACCAAGCATCATTGAGTTGATGCTTAGACCCCATCGAAGGCCGATGAACCACCTTTAAGGGCAAATCTGAACTATCCATGATTGGGTAAGGTGCAGGTGTAGATCCCCTTGGTGACCCCAAAGTGGAACATGCAGCAACTGTTGATCCATAAATACCAACGCACCACCGCCATGGCGGTGGCCATGGAAACTCTTTTTGACCGCAAATGAATCACCTGTCCATAGGGGTATGTTTGAGGTAGAGCCCAAATAACCATTTTAACCATTTTAATTATTAAAATTTTAATAAACCATTTTAAGAGGGAAAAATGCAGATAAACCACTGAATTTTGGGGATATCCCATTTTCAGGCAAACAACCATAGCTTTCTGATCAACATTGGCGGGTTAAACCATGGGTGGTTTCAACTACCACGGGCAGGTTTCAGAACCCTGTGATCCATCTGTCGCTCTACCCAATGAGCTGGCCTTTGATCTGTTCTCTTTTTCACCTGAGACACAACCCACACATTGGGGCCAGACACTTGGGGTTCTTTTTTCACATTTCGGGGATACCTCAAGACATTGTTCTAACGGATTTCACCAGGAAAAAAACAGTTTTTCAACCCAGTTCCAGGGGGTGGAATCGAAAAAAACTGAAGATTGGAACACAGATTCCTCTGGCGATTTCCAATTCCAATGGCCCAAATTTTCAGCGATGTCCATCCAAATGGTCAGCCGATATTTATGGCGAAATCTGCCGAAGAAATCAACGCTTCAAATGCAAAGTGTTTGTTCATCCGATCACAATATGAATATTTGAGTGTCCCCCAAAATGAATACATCAAATACTCCACCAGTGTTATTCAAGGGATTTTAATATTTTAAATGTAGCGGGAAGGGACTACCCAGATTCAAAATTGGCTTCTCATAGTACCCAAAAAAAGATAGACACATATTTCACGTATTTCCAGGATGGTATAGGTAACGATTTCCACATAATTCGCAGGTTCCAAGTTTCCATTGTTTGGGGGGACTGTTATAGATCTATAGGTCATTGCTATTTAGCAAGTACCGACTGACGTGCACATGTGGAACCTAGGATGACCATCAGACCGGCCGAGACCACATCTGCCAGTTTCGTGCGTCAGGCGTTGCCTCGCTGTACAGATTGAACTAGTTTACTACAGGATATTCTGGCATGTACCCTCTGGTAAATCAACATAGACCCTGCCAGTCATCGGGCTTGAAAGATGAGTTTCTCAAAAATGGGTGATTTTCAGGGCCAAACTGCTACCCTCTGGTAAACTGCCACATAACTCTATGTAAAATCACCATGTTCAATGGGTAAATTCGGATAAATCAACTATTTCTATGGCCATTTTCAATAGCGAACTGTTATTTGGCAAAGGCTCCAACTGCGACGACATGTTTGCCATTTTGAAACACTCAGTGGGGCAACCGAAAAAGAAACATCCCTGAGTGACCTGAAAATAGGATACTCCTAAATCTACTGATTTATGGTATATGTTTTGGTCACATTCCCTATGAATTTGCCATGACATCATGATCTGGAGATCAATCACCCCATTTTCTGACACACCATGGCATTGCTTGTTTCTAAGTATACCCTCTGGTAATTTAACATAGCTATTGAAAATGCCCATTTATAGTGAGTTTTCCCATTAAAAATGGTGATTTTCCATAGTTACGTTACTTTACCAGAGGGTATCCTAACTACATCACCATGATTCGCTTTCAAAAACCTCATCTTTCCTCGGGACATTCAAGGATATTCAAGGTCAGGGGCGATTTGGTGATTCTTGTGGTTTCGTTTCACCCCAGCTACGACACTTCGTGTGAACCATCAACCATAGGCTATTCACCTCACAAGGTGAAACCGCCCCGTGGTTTATGTTTGTTGCGTCAGTGTCACCCCATCAATACCCTCTGGTAAACTGCCACATAACGAACTGGAAAATCAGCATTTTCAATGGGTAAATCAACTATTTCGACTGGGCCATGGCTTCAAGTTCGCAAACTGTTAGTCATTACCAGAGGGTACAACCATCATCAATCACTATTATAGCCACTATTAACCCTTATTAATCACCATAGAAATCACCATGTTCAATAGAAAGTATAGCTATTAGCTGGTATTAACCCATTGGTTTGTTAGTTTTTTGGTAAACAAATCACCATGTTCAATAGCTTTTTGTATGTTTACCAGGTCGGGTAACTGGGAAAGCCCAGGCACGGACTTCCTTCAGAGTTCTGTGCGACCTGCCAATGGACCGGAACGGATGGGAATCTGAATCCGAAACATATGGGGATTTTATGGTGATTTAATGGGATTTAATGGAATTCATGGGGATTTCATGGGGATTTTCCCATCTGCGAATAATTGGGATTTATTTTGTGGGCATTATTGGGATTTTATGGTTTATGGTACTTATTCTGGTTCGTGGTATACCTACCCCTCTGAAAAATATGAAAGTCAGTTGGGAGTATTATTCCAACAGTGATCACGCCATAAGATGGAGTGCTAGCGCTGGTTGGTGGTTTTAACCATCTTGAAAAATATGAGTTCGTCAATGGGAAGGAAACCATTCCATATATTATGGAAAATAAGAAATGTTTGAAACCACCAACCAGTTGATGAAACATGGGATTTAATGGAAATTCATTGGACATATGGTAATGAAACATGGATTGCTAGAAAATCCCCCATAACCATTTCAAAGAATTTCCCAGCTGTATGTAAACCTCCATGGCTGCGGAGATGTCCAGTTGCGACATTTGATTACCCAGGTGCAATGATGGAAGACATTAAAGTGGATACAATATGATACAATGGGAATATCATGGGGATACTTTCCGTGAATGTGTGTGTATGCTATTTGTTTTTTGTAATGGGAATTTGAGCATCAGGTCAGGGGTTTACTGGTTGGTGGTTTTAACCATCTTGAAAAATATGAAAGTCAGTTGAGATGATTATTCGCAATACCCTCTGGTAATTTAACATAGCTATTTTTCAAATGACCATAGAAATAGTGAGTTTTCCCATTAATAGCATGGTGGATCTTTCCATAGCTTTTTGTATGTTTACCAGAGGGTATATGGAAAAATAAAAGTCATGTTCCAAACCACCAACCAGTTTACCCGGTTACCCATCGATGAATACTGGGAAAATGATGGAAAATGCCCTCATTGTTGGGTTCTAATGGGTCCCCTCAGTAAATTGCCCTGGCGTTCTGAGGTTTAAAACCCAAACCATCATGGTGATAGAATGGGAATAGACGATATATATTTTTATATAATGGGATATAGATGGATATAGCCAACTATATGACATAGGGGGTTAAAATTGAGTACCCCCCAAAAAAAAAACCTCTGGCAATGACTAACATAGCTACGGAAAATCACTTTATGTCTTATAGGTAAATCAACGAACTACCCTCTGGTAAACTAACAGTTCGCTATTAGGACCATGTATAGTTCGTTGATTTACCTATCCCATATGCAACCCATGGTGCTGGAATATGAATCCCAACATTTGCCCGAACAAAATCATCCAGTTTTGTAGGTTGTTATATACCAGCACCATGGGTTGCATATGGGTATATAATTTTATATTGTTATTATAATTTACCCAGATATATTGTATGTCTAATTAACAATCCATGTATTGCCATGATATGATTCATACACCCAGTAACTAGTTCGTTATAAGTACCATGAACTATAGTGAAATTGGAGTTATGTGAACCCCAACTTAGCTATCGAACGGGGGCACCACTTTGTACACTCAACCAAACCATCATTTTTTGTATGCTTACCAGAGGGGTAGATGATGGTAGATGGCCCCCCGAATCCGACCATTCCGAACCTGGCCATGCGTTGGACCAAGGCTGGAGCAGGTTGCACCTGTCGTCGCTAGAGAGGGGCTCGAGGCCGTTGGTGAATGGGGGAAGGTTTCACCGTGGAAAATGGAGGTTTCACCGTGGAAAATGGAGGTTTAACCATGGAAGTTTTGGCAAGTTAAACACAATTCATGGGATTTAAACAAAAGTAATGAAGGTTTTACCATGGAAATTTTCTAGACCGAAGCAGAAATTGCAGATTCATGGGGTGTAATATGATATACTTATGAACTTATGTAATGTTAATTAATCTTATGTATATTAATGTGGTTAACCCAATAGTTATAACTAAGTTAGTATCAATGAATAGTATCAAATTCAACCATCAAATGGGGATATTGATGGATATTGATGGATATTGATGGATATTGATAAACAAATAATAATCATTGTTCATGTGGTAAACTCAAAACCATTGACCATCCCAATTTCACCAGAATTGAGTTGGTTTTTGAGCCATCTCCCAGTTGGAGCTTTGTTCTTGGGCTACATTCTCACGGTGTGCAAAGTCAACTAAGAGATTGGCTAGAACTGCTGTAATATATATATATATAAATAAATTATCATTATTACTATTATCATTATTTTGTATATATATATACATATATATATATATATCTGAGTATGTATATATATATATGTATGAGTATGTATATATATATATATGTATGTAGATGAGTATATATACGCACGTATTGTAGAATGTATGTTAGAATGTATGTACAAAAATGCACACTAGGTGTAGTGCGAATTAGCTTGTACCTCTGGCAGCGGTATACTCCGCGATACACCGGGCATAGCCCGAACTGTCCGGAAGAAACATAATTTTGTCATATGTCATAGCAACAAATCATTGGATTCGTCGTCCATATCTGGAAACGATGGTTGAAATATCATCTGGTTGGTGGTATACCTACCCCTCTGAAAAACATGACTTCGTCAGTTGGGATGATGGAAATCCCAACTGAATGGAAAGTCATAAAATTAATGTTCCAAACCACCAAGCAGTCATCTATCCAATGATTTTGTTTTACACCTTTGGAATAGTCTTTGTATGTCGTACATTAGTTTGATGCTCTTGTCCACCCGAAAAAAAATGTGGGCACTGAACATCTTCACCCCAAAATGTCCAAGCTCAGCACAGGTTGGAATTCATCGCACCTTGGGTTGGAATGGATAGTCCTCTTTGCACTGGTTCCTGGGCACATCAGGTGTCCGACGGGGATTCAACATGATGAAAAACCTCCCCGCAGTTCGCACCTCTGATTTTTGAAAAATGCTGAAAAAGCCTGTTGGTCCGAAATGCCAGAGATTTTTGTCAGTGAAATGTTTGCCCATAAAAATTGGAATGATCGGGCCATTTCTAAATTCCAAGGTGATCTTAATATTCTTAATTGTAATGATAGCCCCGAAATACCAGTTTTATAAGTCAGCTATAAGTTATATATATGATGTATTTAGATGATAAATTGTACTATACCAGTTTTATAGCCTATAACCCTTTGCCCTTTTTAGTGGAGCTATATATGTGTAAGGTATCTCTGCTACCGACCAAAACGCCCGACTGCTGGTTTTCGGATTCGCCCTGAAACCCCGATGTGGTTTCCCAGCACGGCATCATCTCTGAGAAAGTGGAGCACGGCATACCCTCTGGTAATTTAACGTAGCTATTGGAAATGGCCATTTATAGTTGATTTTCCCATTAACAATGGTGATTTTCCATAGTTATGTAAACGTTTACCAGAGGGTAAGACAAAATAGATCCTCCCCGAGAAAACATAACTCTAATCTTTATTGGAAATGATTGGGGAAGATATATGAAGATATGCTCTTTTTGTAAACTCTGCTGGTCCCTGAAAATATCTGATCTTGATTGGAAAGATTGTATCTTCCAACCCCAACTCCAGGGTGGAGCTGTTCATTTAGAGGATGGGGGAGGCGCCTAAAAAAAACTACCAATTTGTGTTGAGATGAAAACCTACAGTCAAAAAGGCGAACCGTCCCAACATCTAAATTTGGCTGTCTTTGATTTACCGGTTATTTAACGTAGCTATGGGAAATCACCATCTTTAATAGGTAAATCACCATGTTTATCATCTATAAATGGGCCAGAAGGTAATTCAGAACGACTATCTAAACCACCAAAGGCTCAAAATCCGCATTAATGTCTCATAGTATCTCAGAGTGGCGGGAGTCATCCCCCACATGAAAATTGGAGTTCATCAAGGCCACTTTTTAGAGGAATCTCAGTCATGATGGTGGGATGACCATACACCATATTTATCCATGTAAGTTGACCATAGCACATATCATAGTCATAGTTGATGAAAAAAAATCAGAGTCTGTCATCCCCACTGCTGTCGGCTACTATCTACTGACCTTCTGGGATTCTCACCCAAGAACCCTCCAATCATCCAAGCATATTGGGGCATGCTCATCCCCAACAATAGGAGTTCAATAATGTATCCACCAAGATACCATTGGTTAATAGTTGATATACTCCAATAATTATGTGATTTTAGTTAGTATACCTCCCAAAACTATCTAACTTCCCACTTTCCCATCAACTGTATCTGGAGTTGCTTTTTGGGTTGTTTTTTACACCTTCTCGGATGGTATTTGGAGCTCTAGGGATATATCATCACTCCATTTTCTCATGATTTTCCCATATATATATAATTATATATATATGTGTATATATAATATAATATAATATACGTGCATAGAATATGTACATATAATATCCATTAATATCCATTAATATCCATTAATATCCCATGTTCTCATCGTTTTCCCATCGAAAAATGTGCGAAAGATCGCAAAAGACATGCCCATCCCCAGCGCCTGATGACTTGCAAGGCTCGAGCGCGAGTACGCCTTGAGGTGTCGAAGGTGGATAGGTAGCATCTGGTAACACTTCGTTATGGAAGCCATGGCCCATTTATAGACTTTGTAATTGATTTATCTATGGAAAAATGGATAAATTCTATGTGTTTCTATTTTATATACTTGATTTCGCTATGAAAAATTGATAAAAATTGTGATGTTCCAGTTCGCTATGTCAGCTTATCATAGGGTAAACATACAGAAAAAGATGGAAACATCAGCATTTTTCATGGCTAAATCGAACGGTCATGTTCCATAGTTTTTTGTATGTGTGCTGGAGGATATCTCAAAGGCCCTGCCATGTGATTATTTTGTACCGATAATTACCCCCCCTTTCTGATGCTTACACTGCTATGATATTCCAATATACAGTATCATCTCAGCCATGTTGATAATTGGCTTTGGAATCCCGAAGTTGGTTAAAAAGTCACTTGGTGGAACCGTAAAACTATATGTCATATATCCCATAAATTACAGTATCTTATTATATCCCCATGATATTCCTATAAAATAGCTACACCGGGCTAAACCATGCTACACCCAAGTTTCACGTACTGCACCCATATCATCTTCAGTCGGTTGTATATATGACTATGCTATGTTTATCCCATAAAATATCCTCATTAAAAAATAAAAATAAATAAAATAAATAAACCATGGTCAGACCACAGTATCTTTAGTATAAATCTTCATCACATTATACTCCCATAAAATATCTCCATAAAATATCGAAATTATATCTCCATCATATAAAATCACAATAAAATATCTCCATAAAATATCCCCATCATATTATATCTCCAAGAAAGAAATCATAGAAAGTATCTTTAGGAAATATCACCATCATATTGTACTCCCATGCTATGTTTATCCATAGATCATATAAATGGCGGTCCACAAAAAAAAATGCGCCATTTCTGCGGTTGTTCAAACCACCACTTGGCTTCTCCAACGACACTCGATCCAGGTAGGTCTCCGGTTCCTGCGGCGATGACGGTGGATACCCGGCCTGGTAAACATACAAACTAGACGACGGATGGCCCGAGAGCGTAGAGGAGCAGAGTCTTCTGTTGTTAGTATGGAGACACTATATTAAAGATGTATTATAGGCAGACGAGAAGAGTAGTATCAAGACAATATATGACTAGTACAAGACAATAGTTTGCATCGTATTTTTGTAAAGTTTTTCATACACAGAACTTTTTACAGACAGACGCTTTTGCACACAGAGACTTTTACACACAGAGACTTTTACACACAGAGACTTTTACACACAGACGCTTTTACACACAGACGATTTTGCACACAAGCACTTTTACACACAAACACTTTTACACACAGAGACTTTTACACACACACAGACGCTTTTACACACAGAAGCTTTTACACACAGAAGCTTTTACACACAGACGCTTTTACACACAGACGCTTTTACACACAGACGCTTTTACACACAAACGCTTTTTACCCATAGGCTCTTTTACACACAGACGCTTTTACACACAGACGCTTTTACACACAGAGCCTTTTACACACAGACGCTTTTACACACAGACGCTTTTACACACAGAGACTTTTACACACAGAGACTTTTACACACAGAGACTTTTACACACAGACGCTTTTACACACAGACGATTTTGCACACAAACACTTTTACACACAAACACTTTTACACACAGACGCTTTTACACACAGACGCTTTTACACACAGAAGCTTTTACACACAGAAGCTTTTACACACAGCTTTTACACACAGAGCTTTTACACACAGACGCTTTTACACACAGACGCTTTTACACACAGACGCTTTTACACACAGACGCTTTGACACACAGACGCTTGTTACACATAGGCTCTTTTACACACAGACACTTTTACACACAGACGCTTTTACACACAGAGCCTTTTACACACAGACGCTTTTACACACAGACGCTTTTACACACAGACGCTTTTACACACAGACACTTTTACACACAAACGCTTTTACACACAGACGCTTGTACACACAGACGCTTTTACACACAGAGGCTTTTACACACAGACGCTTGTACACACAGAGACTTTTACACACACAGACGCTTTTACACACAGAGCCTTTTACACACAGACGCTTTTACACACAGACGCTTTTACACACAGACGCTTTTACACACAAACGCTTTTTACACATAGGCTCTTTTACACACAGACGCTTTTACACACAGACGCTTTTACACACAGAGCCTTTTACACACAGACGCTTTTACACACAGACGCTTTTACACACAGACACTTTTACACACAGACGCTTTTACACACAGACGCTTTTACACACAGACGCTTGGACACACAGACGCTTTTACACACAGAGGCTTTTACACACAGAGACTTTTACACACACAGACGCTTTTACACACAGAGCCTTTTACACACAGACGCTTTTACACACAGACGCTTTTACACACAGACGCTTTTACACACAGACGCTTTTTACACACAGGCTCTTTCACACACAGGGACTTTTACACACAGAGGCTTTTACCCGCAGAGACTTTTACACACAGACGCTTTTACACACAGACGCTTTTACACACAGACACTTTTACACACAGACGCTTTTACACACAGACGCTTTTACACACAGACGCTTTTACACACAGACGCTTTTACACACAGACTCTTTTACACACAGACGCTTTTACACACAGACGCTTTTACACACAGACAGCTTTTACACACAGAGACGCTTTTACACACAGACGCTTTTACACACAGACGCTTTTACACACAGACGCTTTTACACACAGACGCTTTTACACACAGACAGCTTTTACACACAGACGCTTTTACACACAGACGCTTTTACACACAGACGCTTTTACACACAGACGCTTTTACACACAGAGCTTTTACACACAAGTAAAATCGCAATTTTTCCTCAGTTTTTGACGATCGACCCTCATTTCGTGCGAAAGGGTTTTTTGTTTTAGCACAAGTAAAATCGCAATTTTTCCTCAGTTTTTGACGATCGACCCTCATTTCGTGCGAAAGGGTTGCTCCGGCACAAGGCAACAGAGTAAAATGAGTTTTTGACTTTCGTGCGAAAGGGTTGAAGTAAAATCGCAATTTTTCCTCAGTGTTTGACGATCGACCCTCATTTCGTGCGAAAGGGTTGACGTTTCGTGACTCACCGCCGGTACCACCCTCGGCCTAAAGAGAGAAAGATAAAGAAGGCGAGAGAGAGAAAAAGGAGAGGGAAAGGAGAGAGAGAAAGGAGAGAGAATGAGAGAGAGAGAAGATGTGAAGATGAGAAGGTGTGAGAGAAGGTGTGAAGATGAGAAGGGTGTGAGAGAAGATGTGAAGATGAGAAGGTGTGAGAGAAGATGTGAAGATGAGAAGGTGTGAGAGAAGATGTGAAGATGAGAGAGAAGATGTGAAGATGAGAAGGTGTGAGAGAAGATGTGAAGATGAGAAGGTGTGAGAGAAGATGTGAAGATGAGAAGGTGTGAGAGAAGATGTGAAGATGAGAGGGTGTGAGAGAAGATGTGAAGATGAGAAGGTGTGAGAGAAGATGTGAAGATGAGAAGGTGTGAGAGAAGATGTGAAGATGAGAAGGTGTGAGAGAAGATGTGAAGATGAGAAGGTGTGAGAGAAGATGTGAAGATGAGAAGGTGGAGAGAAGATGTGAAGATGAGAAGGTGTGAGAGAAGATGTGAAGATGAGAAGGTGTGAGAGAAGATGTGAAGATGAGAAGGTGTGAGAGAAGATGTGAAGATGAGAAGGTGTGAAGATGAGAAGATGAGATACAGACCCCCACTATTGGAAGAACCCTGCGCTCAGACGCTCTCGGGAAAAAACTACTGGGAAAATCACCATGCTTTTAATAGGAAAATCAACGAACTAAATGACCATGGATAAGCTGGGTTTACCCTCTGGTTATGACTAACAGTTTGCGAACTGGAAAAGCAGCATGCTATTAATAGGTAAACCATCTATAAATAGTATAGACCATTTTCCATGGCTATGTTAAATAACCAGAGGGTATATTATATATACACACTTGTTTTAATATACCAATTTATATATATATATATGGGGGTTGTCCAAAATTGTGGTACCCGAAAACTGCCCTTACGCCGCGCTTTTGCGAACCTTTCGCGCCCTTTCGCGCCCCAGCAGAATCGGGACATGGGATTATGATCGGGTTTTCGTTTATTTATAGGTTTATAAATAGTACTATGAGACCTTTCGCGAACCTTACGCCGCGCTTTCGCGGCCTTTCGCCACTGCAGCAAAACATACACATCCATCTCTGCAGATGTCACTCGGATACTAAAAGCCTTGCATGGGTTTTAGGACGACTCCCATATATATATATACATATATATATATATATATCGAGGATTTTCTATTGCCATGTTTGATTACTGGAGTGTAATTCTTCAAACAAAACCCATGGAGATCTCAAACAACAGCGACGCTCCATGCGACAACGCATTCACGGCGTACGCGTTTTTTTCACGTCTGTTGCATGAAACTTTGATCTGAAAATGAGGAACCATGTGGGTAAGACAATGCCATGTTTACCATCCCCAAACAAATCACCATTCTTATAGGTGATATGTAGAAACCATTCCCAGGAAGTCATGGGTGGTAAAAATGACATTGTTTCACCCACATTACCCAGGAAATGGCAAAATTTGGTGGTAGCCCACATGGAAACTGTGGTGATTGACCCCGAGATCGACTTGGGACCTGGGGGTATGTTCCAACAAGGCCACGACTTTCAATGGGAGATCTCCAGGATCCTAAAATGGAGGTACTGTACCATATAAGGCCATATTTTGGGGGTATATCCCCTTACATAGGCCTTACATAGGCCTTATATAGGCCTTATATATGGTAGGTACCTCCAATTTAGGTTCCTGAAATGGCCATTGAACTTTCTCCAGCTCCAAGATGTCCTCAAGTATCCTGATGCGACTACCGACATTTTGATAGCCTCAGTTCAATTTGAGCTCCACTGGTCTCTCGAATGGGACCAGTTTTCCTAGGGTTAAAGCCCTAAAGCCAGTTATTTACATTATAAATTATGATTTCAATGAGGTTATCATTCCATAAATGGTGTGTGACTTACTGACGTATAACATTCGTACAAGGCCATGACCAGGCCGTGACTGTAGTGCAGAATTCCAATCACCCGGTAGTATCATCCCCTTTTGAAGCTAACCAGTTACAGGTTTCTCTTGGCTTCATGTCGCATCCCCCCAAAAAAAACGCACACTGTGACCCCAAATCCGACTTACTAACAATTTACCAACTTCCTGTAGGATGAAGCGAACATATACAGGAAAACCAGAGAAAACGAAGTCCTAGTTACTATGCATCCATTGTTAACAACAAACACTTCAATGTGGTAAACCCAATCATAAACCATGCCCAACATTACCATAAATGGGTTGTATAAACCATTGCAAAATGTTAGGTTTATGGCATTGGGTTTATGTAAGTCAACCACATTTGCTGGAAAGCCATTCTGAACTAAGCCCCCAACTGTTCACCGAGGGTTTGAAGTATCCGGCGCTCACTTTGGCCTCTTTCCGAGCCTTCTCCTGACCCATTGCTGAAGTGGTTTCTGCATGGGTTTCCACCAAAACACCCTCCGAGATGTCAACAAAAACAGTGATTCAATGGGGATACACTCTGGATCTTCATGGGATATATTGGTGAATACCCTTCGGCAGTCAAAGATGGTTTGCTTGAAAATCCCCCATTTATGATGCTTCCCATAAAAAACCTGTCATTTATGGGGTAGTTCCTGGCTTGCCATCTTTGACACCCAAGGTATGTTGGTTTTCGGCTATATATAGCTACTTCCGGGATGCACCCAGCAGTGATCCTCTGGTAATGACTAACAGTTCGCTATTGAAAATGGTCCATTTAGAAATAGTTGATTTACCCATTAATAGCATGGTGGATCTTTCCAGTTCGTTATGTGGCTGTTTACCAGATGGTAATTTATTGTTTCTATGGTTGAACATAGATATAGCTATAGGCTATAGTTGATGGGGCTTAACCAACCAAGTTCTGTGTGGGGAGGGCCATCTTGTATGGGTTTGGCATGGTTTGGCAGTCTGGATTTCCAAGCCACATCCAACTGTCATAATGTCATGTCATATGTAAAACTGTTTGTGGTCTTGCAGGTCTCCCCTAAAACATGGCAGTGCCGCAGGTATTCTATGAAGACAAAACATATCAAAAAATACTCAGATCCTTATTCTAGATCGTGTTGGTTTCATTCCCATTCTGCTAGTATTGCTGTTTTCGCTTTGTCAGATTCATGCCATCATTGGTGTTTCTTCAGCATCTACCCTCCGGTAATCAAACAGAGCAATGGACAATTCAGGCATTTACAGCTGATTTTCCCAGCTATAAACCTCCATTTAGTTGGGGTATTTTCCAGCCAGCCACTTTTGATGACACCGGAAGGTAGTTGATGTTTTGTCCATCATTTCTGTTGCTTCAACTGCCCCCACACTTGTTAAAGTACTCTAACCTGGCCAATTAAAGTCACGATCGTAATTAACATTATCAATTTAGACTTACAAACAGGTTGATATAATATGATCCAGTTTGGGATCATCACAAATAATTAAATACCGTTGAACATTAAAACATAGTGGAACTATACCCTCCGGTAATCAAACACGGCAATTGAAAATCCCCTATAAATCATTAAATCGGCGTTTTGATGGGAAAATAATCCATATAAATGAAGGATTTTCCATTGCCACGTTTGATTACCAGAGGGTATAAGTATGTAATAGGCATCCATCCTCATGACGATAATTGTCATAAGTTGGGTTGGGTTACTAATTTACTATATAGTTCACTTTGGTTTTTTCTGCTTCATATAATATACCCTCTGGTAATTTAACATAGCTATTGAAAATGGTCCATTTGTATTTACCTATTCAAAATGGTGATTTTCTATAAGTATGTTGGTTTACCAGAGGGTAGTGTAGATATATCGTGGAAACCACCAACTAGAAGAGAGTCAGCATCCTCTACCCATGTCAAATTTCCCTCCTCCAACCGTCGTCGAGCGCGTTCTTCGCGGCGACGCTGGTCCTGATTGTTCTCCACGTAGCCGTGCAGGTTTGCAGTTAGTCTGCTCTCCGGCAAACTAACATAACTATCTGGGTAAATTATAATATTTACCTGGAACCTCAAACGAGCAAACATTTCTGTGCCTGTTTATTTTTTAATTTAAAACAGGGTAATCGAACGTTATTTTGTTGAACGAACAGTTTTCTCTAAAACGTACAGATTTTAGAATGTTACTTAATATGATGAACTACCCCATGTCAACTACCCCATGTCATAAACCCCCTGTTACTCTATATATATATATGGGTAAATTATAATATTTCACTAACCTGAATTAAGGCCATTTGGGGATGATTTCCCTTATTAACTATGATTCCAGTGAGGTCGCAGTGAGGTTGTTATAATTTACCCAGAACTATGAAAAATCACCACTTTAAATAGGGCCATTTTCCATAGCTATGTTACTTTACCAGAGTCAGAGGGTAGCAAGGGTTTTCAAATGTGTATTTAACGCAGAGGAATTGGGATAAACTGGGTGTGTAGATATCGAACAGATTGATTTATGCTTAAATTCCTAGTGATGGTTGAATCGCCATGTCTTTACGGAAAGTCTCCCAGTTTTATGTTCATTGTATCCACATTATTCGCATGAATGTTTCTCATTGTATCCAATGATGTTCTCCTTATGTCACCAAAGCATGTTGGAGTTGTGCCTTTAAGATAATTACAGTATATATTGAAGTCCCATTAACATCCCACTATCACATCCATCTCATGAAACATGGATTGGCTTTGCCCTCTGGTAATCAAAGTTATCTATTGAAAATGGCCCATTTAGATTTATGATTTACCTGGTGTTTTCCCATAGCAACGGTTCATTAGTAGCGGATTGTATATCCAGTTTCAGATTTATAAACGATTATAGATGGTCTAACACGGTCGGTTATATCCCATTATAGCCCCATGAAAATATTCCATCGAAATTCCAGGCGATATATTTCACTACTATCCTATTAAGATCGCATTAAAGCATCATTTTCTATGGACAATCCTCACTAATATCCCATTAAACTGGTTAGGTTCTAATATATATATATACCCTCCAGTAAATTAACATAGACCCTGGTAGATAGGGGTTGGAAGATTAGTTTCCACTAAACATGGGTTCTTTTCAGGGTCAAACTGTTAATTTACCAGAGGGTAATAGGTATATATCCATATGATATACCTATTGTTCTGACAAAATATATGGATAATTATAGACATTATACACTTCATAATTAACATAGACCCTGGTATATTGTAAAATCCCATATAATCAGTTCATCTCATTCCACCCAAGGCCCGTTCGACGAAGGGCTCCTTGGGGCCCAGTTCTGAGGTCCCACGAGGCTCACGTTGCCTGACTAGAGATGGCCCTTCTGAAAAATAGAGTCTCGGGAAAGCTATCTCAAGGCATCACTCCCTTCCCCTTAGGAACCCATACGTGCCAAGGATCGAACAGCCACATGTGATTATACCCCACATATTCAGCAGCGGATGTGATAGATTAATAGATATTGGCTTACCAGGAGGATCAGAGCTGATGATGCAATATGCCACCGGCAAAATATGGCAAAATGGAGTCATAGAGGTACGCACTCCCATCCCCTCATGGTTGCCATGTAGCGTATTGTTCTTGCGCCACCACGTCAGCGGTACCAGGTCGCTGCCGTCGTTCGTCGTGTCCTGGTAGCTGAGGAGGGTATCCAGCGCAGCTTCGGAGATCCTGCCCGAAAGACCGGACAAGTAGTTCAGGTCCACGGACTCCTCAGCGCTGGGACAAAGCTTCAGAAGCTGCAACCTGAATTCTGCGGCGGTCATCTTCGTGAACCAACTCCCACTGGTGATCATTGTCTGAAGCAGAGTCAGATAGGAAAATGGTGTGATCCAGGTGGTTGCTCTGAGGTTCGCAGAAATTCCCTGCAGGGCAGCTCCAACTGCGCCTGCGAGCTAAAGCCCATAATAATCATAACATATCATAGTATAATAACTGGTTGATGGTATACCTACCCCTCTGAAAAATGAAGGACTTCGTCAGTTGGGATGATGAAATTCCCAAGATATGGAGGGATTATTATTCTCAGGCGATATGACACGCCTGATGACTTGGATGATTTGGGGTACCCATACTTTCTGGGTAAATTATCATACTGCACTAACCTGAAACTTGTGGCTATCTTGGGGATGATTCCCCTTATTAATCATGATTTCCAGTGAGGGAGAACAGTGAGGTCGTTATAATTTATCCAGAGATATGGAAAAAATAAAATTCATGTTCCAAAGCACCAACCAGATTCAACCACCAACCATTTATAACATGTTTTAAACCATGTAGAAAACATAAAGAATATTAAGTTATAAGCCCATAGATTGGAATCATAAGCTCATAGAAATAACTTCTGAACAACCATAAACATCACCATAAACATAACTGGTATTTAGGGCCTTAACATCAGCGCTGATTCAAGGGTTTGCATTTCAGGAAACGATGGTTTAGAATTTAAAGCCAATCAAACAGAAGGGTCTGTTGTAAATGTTCCATTGAACTCACCAATCAACTGACTATGGTTCAAAACTTTTGGTGCCAATGGACCCAGAACGGCTGGTCATAGGCTCTGAAACTGTCCATGTCGCAGAGTTGACAATTTGACCCACCGCCACCCATATATTGACAATCTAATTTTGCTTGCCTACGCATGTAAATATGTGTATAAGTTCTATATATATATATAAATATATGATAATATATGCATATACACAGGGATTCTCCAAATCATACCTAGTTGTATATTTGTTTGTTTTCCTAAAAATCATCATGTTTGGAAAAAATGCACTGATTTGTGGGTTTACCACCTTACTTCCTTTGTTGACAACCTTGGTAACAACCCTCAAAAGCAGTCACTGTCACGGTTTCAGGAATCATCCACTTTGAGAACACACTGAAAAGTCGGTTGTCTACTTGTTTATACTGCATGTACAATTAAACACTGTAAAGAACAATATATATATATATAATTTGCATATTATACTACGTATATCATGTATAATGTACAGTGTAACACTACGATTTCAACAAAATACGGATCCCAAATCTATTTGTTTATTATACTGTATATACAATTAAGTGCAGCATACACAATTTAGATGTGTAAATATATATATATACACCATGTATATCTTCTTAACCAGTTGGGTTGGATAGACTTGTTTGGCCTCGCAAGCAGTGTGATGTGCGGTTTGAAGCGGCACTCCTGAGGCGCATGTTTCGTGCCCATGCTGCAGCTTGAGGGAAAATTGACCAACAAAATGGGCTGAATACCAACAATAAGGGAGATATATTCATGGGATATGATATATAATGAGAATACCTAATTATTCATAGGATATAATGGGATGATATATGTATATATATATATAATGGGAATTAATTGGATATAGATGAGATTATATATGAATATGATTATACCCGACCATTAATGGGCTGAACCACCATTTATAGAGGATATATTCACGATATCTTATGTATATAATGGGAATTAATGGGAGTTAGATGATATATATACTTCAGGAGGAACAAAGTTTATGCTTCTTGAAAGCTTTACAAGACATCCATGTCGGTCAACCGCGGATCGCATTTTCAAGTCCGTTTTGTGTGGCAGGTGTGGGACGGTCAATTATCACCCTCTTTTAAATATATAAGATTTTAAAGCTTTTGGAGGGTGGAAATGCGACCGGGGTACGACAAAGCTCCATGCTAGGATTCTACGGGGAAAGGGTGTGCAGAAGAAGAAGCCAAACATGTTCACTGTGGGAAGCTCAACAAGCGCAACTTTTGTCCTACCAGTGCGTCACGGCACATGTGTAGCAGTGCAGACAAAGAGGATGGAGACAGACATGTTATGTGGAGTAATGTCCAAGCTGAAGCAGGTGCAAAAATCAGCAAATGACGTGGCAATTCCCACTAAATAAGCTTTTTGTACCCTGCGTCACGGCACATGTGTAGCAGTGCAGACAAAGAGGATGGAGACAGACATGCTATGTGGAGTAATGACCAAGCTGAAGCAGGTGCAAAAATCAGCAAATGACGTGGCAATTCCCACTAAATAAGCTTTTTGTACCCTGCGTCGCAGCACATGTGTAGCAGTGCAGACAAAGAGGATGGAGACAGACATGTTATGTGGAGTAATGACCAAGCTGAAGCAGGTGCAGAAGTCAGCAAATGACGTGGCAATTCCCACTAAATAAGCTTTTCGTACCCTGCGTCACGGCACATGTGTAGCAGTGCAGACAAAGAGGATGGAGACAGACATGTTATGTGGAGTAATGTCCAAGCTGAAGCAGGTGCAAAAATCAGCAAATGACGTGGCAATTCCCACTAAATAAGCTTTTTGTACCCTGCGTCACGGCACATGTGTAGCAGTGCAGACAAAGAGGATGGAGACAGACATGATGTGGAGTAATGTCCAAGCTGAAGCAGGTGCAAAAATCAGCAAAGGACGTGGCAATTCCCACTAAATAAGCTTTTTGTACCCTGCGTCGCAGCACATGTGTAGCAGTGCAGACAAAGAGGATGGAGACAGACATGTATGTGGAGTAATGACCAAGCTGAAGCAGGTGCAGAAGTCAGCAAATGACGTGGCAATTCCCACTAAATAAGCTTTTCGTACCCTGCGTCAGGCACATGGTAGCAGTGCAGACAAAGAGGATGGAGACAGACATGCTATGTGGAGTAATGACCAAGCTGAAGCAGGTGCAAAAATCAGCAAAGGACGTGGCAATTCCCACTAAATAAGCTTTTTGTACCCTGCGTCGGCACATGTGTAGCAGTGCAGACAAAGAGGATGGAGACAGACATGTTATGTGGAGTAATGACCCAGCTGAAGCAGGTGCAGAAGTCAGCAAATGACGTGGCAATTCCCACTAAATAAGCTTTTCGTACCCTTCAGGAGGAACAAAGTGTATGCTTCTTGAAAGCTTTACAAGACATCCATGTCGGTCAACCGCGGATCGCATTTTCAAGTCCGTTTTGTGTGGCAGGTGTGGGACGGTCAATTATCACCCTCTTTTAAATATATAAGATTTTTAAAGCTTTTGGAGGGTGGAAATGCGACCGGGGTACGACAAAGCTCCATGCTAGGATTCTACGGGGAAAGGGTGTGCAGAAGAAGAAGCCAAACATGTTCACTGTGGGAAGCTCAACAAGCGCAACTTTTGTCCTACCAGTGCCTCACGGCACATGTGTAGCAGTGCAGACAAAGAGGATGGAGACAGACATGTTATGTGGAGTAATGTCCAAGCTGAAGCAGGTGCAAAAATCAGCAAAGGACGTGGCAATTCCCACTAAATAAGCTTTTTGTCCCCTGCGTCGCAGCACATGTGTAGCAGTGCAGACAAAGAGGATGGAGACAGACATGTTATGTGGAGTAATGACCAAGCTGAAGCAGGTGCAGAAGTCAGCAAATGACGTGGCAATTCCCACTAAAGAGGCTTTTCGTACCCTGCGTCACGGCACATGTGTAGCAGTGCAGACAAAGAGGATGGAGACAGACATGTTATGTGGAGTAATGTCCAAGCTGAAGCAGGTGCAAAAATCAGCAAAGGACGTGGCAATTCCCACTAAATAAGCTTTTTGTACCCTGCGTCGCAGCACATGTGTAGCAGTGCAGACAAAGAGGATGGAGACAGACATGTTATGTGGAGTAATGACCAAGCTGAAGCAGGTGCAGAAGTCAGCAAATGACGTGGCAATTCCCACTAAATAAGCTTTTCGTACCCTTCAGGAGGAACAAAGTTTATGCTTCTTGAAAGCTTTACAAGACATCCATGTCGGTCAACCGCGGATCGCATTTTCAAGTCCGTTTTGTGTGGCAGGTGTGGGACGGTCAATTATCACCCTCTTTTAAATATATAAGATTTTAAAGCTTTTGGAGGGTGGAAATGCGACCGGGGTACGACAAAGCTCCATGCTAGGATTCTACGGGGAAAGGGTGTGCAGAAGAAGAAGAAGCCAAACATGTTCACTGTGGGAAGCTCAACAAGCGCGACTTTTGTCCTACCAGTGCGTCACGGCACATGTGTAGCAGTGCAGACAAAGAGGATGGAGACAGACATGTTATGTGGAGTAATGTCCAAGCTGAAGCAGGTGCAAAAATCAGCAAATGACATGGCAATTCCCACTAAATAAGCTTTTCGTACCCTGCGTCACGGCACATGTGTAGCAGTGCAGACAAAGAGGATGGAGACAGACATGCTATGTGGAGTAATGACCAAGCTGAAGCAGGTGCAGAAGTCAGCAAATGACGTGGCAATTCCCACTAAATAAGCTTTTCGTACCCTGCGTCGCAGCACATGTGTAGCAGTGCAGACAAAGAGGATGGAGACAGACATGTTATGTGGAGTAATGACCAAGCTGAAGCAGGTGCAGAAGTCAGCAAATGACGTGGCAATTCCCACTAAATAAGCTTTTCGTACCCTGCGTCACGGCACATGTGTAGCAGTGCAGACAAAGAGGATGGAGACAGACATGTTATGTGGAGTAATGTCCAAGCTGAAGCAGGTGCAAAAATCAGCAAATGGCGTGGCAATTCCCACTAAATAAGCTTTTCGTACCCTTCAGGAGGAACAAAGTTTATGCTTCTTGAAAGCTTTACAAGACATCCATGTCGGTCAACCGCGGATCGCATTTTCAAGTCCGTTTTGTGTGGCAGGTGTGGGACGGTCAATTATCTCCCTCTTTTAAATATATAAGATTTTAAAGCTTTTGGAGGGTGGAAATGCGACCGGGGTACGACAAAGCTCCATGCTAGGATTCTACGGGGAAAGGGTGTGCAGAAGAAGAAGCCAAACATGTTCACTGTGGGAAGCTCAAAAAGCGCAACTTTTGTCCTACCAGTGTATATCATCAATCTCATGAAAAACACATTTTGAAAGCCCATGAAAAACACCATCTGGTTAGCACCTTCATTTTTTGAAACATTTTGAAACCCATGAGATTCAGTTCTAACCCACAGACCTCCATTTTATCCACACCTGCGGCCGCCCAGATTTTGTGCGATGGCCAGCTGCCAAGTGTAGAATTGGCAGTCCATGGGATCATAAATCACCTGGTGACTGCGGTGTCACATGGCGGTGTCACATGGCAACCCTCCGGTGTCATCATTGCCATTGATAACAATAGTTGCCATGATAGGAACTAATGTTTTTTGATACCTAGTTAATAGGATAGAAATAGACGGATAATAGGAGATCATCAACAGTTCAATTATCATACTTCATCATTGTAAGTGATAGTAATAGGAACTGCAATAATAAATTAAAAACAATAGGAACTACAATGATAATCTTGTCATATTACTGTTTTTTTTGTTCTTGGAACTATATGATGGTATCATTCTATTGATGGAATCAAACAAATACCCATATAATACTCATGAGTAATCATGTAATCATTATGATACCCTCCGGTGTCATAGGAAGCCATGGCTTGCTGTACAATCCGCCATGGCTTGGCGATGATTTTGACAGCCATCAACTTCCAGCTCTGGGATCTTCAAGCTACCCATATAATGCCAGAGGGTACGGCTCAAAGCCCCATGAATAAACTTGGATTAGACATACTAAATGGATGAAAACAATGGTCTATTTACCAGCTATAAACAACATAAGTATACATAATTCCATACATAATTCGATGGAACTTGAATTGTAAATAATACCCTGTGGTAACTTGTGATGCGGGCCATGTTCCGGAAAAAATACCGGAGGCTTTCTTGGGGTACCAACAAAAACAACATGACATAGATATAGTCAGGAAATACTTATGGTTCCCTACTGTTGGCTAAGAACAAGCGAACTATGGTGCTCTTTACCAAAACACATGAGAATCTAACATAATTCTTATCATCAAAAGTGGGAATATGATGATAAACGCTGGGATAAACTAGAATGGTTTTGCATAAAAATAGGGTACCCCACAACCACTAGAACATCATGTTCCGGATTCAAGTGTGGCCATAAATTGGGGGATTGAAAATGATTGAAACATCAGAACTACACAACAAGGACTGTTGTAAGCAATAAAAACAAAGGGGGGGAGATTTTCAGAATGTTTATAACAGTCATGGTGATTTGGGGATTGTCGTGAGTCGTGATCTTTTCCTCGCAGATTCATGGCTGATGTGTAAAGGCCGCCCACGGACCACAATTTCTTGGTCGCTCATTGATCAACAAATTGAAAACTGTGTTTGTTTCTAATCCCCGTCTCAAATAGAGTATCTGTGGAAACTGGAAGGACGAAAAAGGTTGACATCATATCCTGACTGGAAATCCCACAGAAATCTCATCAAATCTCAGCTTTTCGGTAACATTTCGTAACCTCCCCTGGTGGCCTCCCCTGGTCGCCTGGTCCCATCCCATGCCATGAGATCCATCGGATCCATCCCACGACGTGTCCGGATCCGACGGATCCGTTTCCGCGGCCCAAGCTTTGCTCGCCATCGGCTGAGCCACTAAAAAAAAAGCGCCGGACAGGGATGGGACGATTATGGGACCTGAAAAGGATGATGTGGCTATGTAAATCTATGTAATTTATATATATATATATGTATATATTATATACATGATATAAGATGATATAAGATGATATATTTATATAAGTATAACATAGTATAACTGTCACTAACTGTCCTTATTATTACTGTTATCGTTGCCATCATGTAAATCATTCTTGATCGGTTTACATGGCTTACATGGCTTACATGGTTTGCCATGATGTGGATTATGGTCATGGTGACGACGGGTGATCAATTTTTGGGTCTAAACCAACCCCCACCGGTGACCAGGACTCGTCACTTCTACGCTTCACCGTGGCTGGCTGGAAAATCCCCGAAATAAAAAACCGGGTTTTGTTACGGTAAAACCATCGAATGATGGCTGATTTTCCAGCGATGTGACTGATTACTGGAGGATACTGGAGGGTATATTTGGGACTCACGGTGGAACGTGCCAACGTGCCATGAAACTCTGAAACATCACCTTTCTGAATACGTTGGGCTCCATCCCCCTGAGACCCAATCGCCGCCTCAAAGACCCGCTTGCTTTGACACCTGTGCCTTCATCGACTGGGATTTTAGTCACATGGAGAAGTTGAGAAACACTGCAGAACGCCATGCTGCAGAATTCTGGAATCACTGGAAATCTGGAGGAGAAAATTCACTGAAGATTATTCCCCGCTTGTTAATGCTGCAGGACCATCTCTGGGCAGAAATTCCACGGTTTCTCCAACTGGATCTGGAAATTGCCTGGTGAACCTTCACCACCGATCATGTCATGTTCATCATTCTTTTCCACGTTAAAACGTACTGTGGATGGAAGAAATCCTGCGTTGGTAGATGGTTTAGCTATAGTCCCATTATTTACAGTGTGTCATAGTTACCAATAGTTCCTCCATCCACAGTATTAAATTGAAATGGCCATGAAATGGGCTATCTTCATGTATCATGTCATGTATCTGCCATTTTTTCAAACAACTCACATCCCAATACACCCGGTTACATCAACTGATCTGCGGCTCGCTTTTGCCGCGTGTGCAGCTGCAGCAGGGTGAACTCCAGTCACTGAGCGATGGAAGTTCCAATGCATGAGCGGCTTCAGCTCATCAACCATGTTGTTAACAGAGTGAGGTCAGACCGGAAATTAATCTTACTCAACATAACCCACAACCCAAAAATATGAGTTGAGTGTCTGAAAATCGGTGATCTTCCCCTTAAAGATCGGCTATCGCAATGAGAAGGTGATGATGGATTTCACCGTGTAAGGTTTGCAACCAGTTTTCAGGCCCCAAATCTTGGATCCCAGAGCCGAAACCACCCAAATAACAAATTTTTTAATGACATAAAGACTCTAAATCCTTCAAAGGCGTCCTATGATGGACAATGGGAAGTCTTGCATTGCGCATTACAGGTGTCATCACGAACACCCAAAACTGGTCTACTCGGCACTGCTTTCATCCAGGCTTTATGAATTTTCAGCAGTGACAAGTTTGAGAAAATGTGCCTCTCAAACAAAAAGGCCGCAATCTTCACTTGTAAAGAATTCAGTGTTCTTCGGCCTTGTCCAGGGCTTTCCGACAGAAAAACCAAGAACTTCAAAGCTGGATTCCGTATGATTACGTGACGTTGGTCTCTGAACCGATTGTCAAGCACCATATAATGTAATGTGTATGTTTGTGTATTACAATGTTTGTTAATACATGGCACAAAAGCAACTTCGAATTCTATAAGTCATATCTACAGTAGTCACAGCTCAACAGCACCACGACATCAGCAGCTCCTTGTCACCACGACCTGCATCGCCCCAGCCGCGGCTGCGTCGTCGTCGTCGTCATCGTCGTCGTCGTCCTTGTGCCGTTGCGTTTCGCCCTGTCGCCGTCGCCGTGGTCAGCGCGCAGCGCCGCCTGTGCCGCAGCGAGGCGTGCCAGGGGGGCGCGCCACGGCGAGCAGCTCACGTAGTCCAAACCGATGCGGTTGCAGAAATCGATGCTGCCGGGGTCACCACCATGCCTGTTAGAGGATGGGAGGATGGTAGGATGGTTTAAGGAACGTTTAGATGAGGAGTATTGTTCTTCCTTGTTCTTCTTCTTGTCCTTGTTGTCACTATGTTTATCATTAACTTTGGCAGGTTGAGGAGGTTGCAGTTTCACCCATGTTCATCCATTTTCACCAGTTTTCACCAATTTTTACCAGAGAAATGGCTGTTTCACCCAAGGCACTCACCACAAATACCCATCTTCATGCCACTTCGAGCTTTGCGGCCCCGCTCCACGGCCAGTAAAATCAGTTCCCCAACACCCTCAGTGTCCAGAGTCACGAAGGGATCTTGCTCCAGAATCCCCTTGGCCTTGTAGTCGGGCCTCGCAAAACATGGGGAAAACATGGAGGATATCATATGATATCATTGTTTTCTTGTTAGTTTTTTTTGGTAAAACACATACACTGTGGTAAACAAACATAGCTATTGAAAATGGCCATTTATAGTTGATTTGCTCATAAAAAATGGAAACTTTCCATAGCTATGTTAGTTTACCAGAGGGTAAACAATGGTATGTATCCCAAATATCATAAGGTTTTTCATGATCTTTATAGCAATCATGGGGATTCATAGGTAATAGGATTTATACATCCCACACGATTCTGGGATTTTTGAAAGGATATATCCCAAAAAAACGACCCAATATCCTGATTGGTTTATTAAACCTCAATAATCGTTGAGATATCTATCCCATTATAATATGGATTAAAGTGAGGTTTGGCCTCAGGAATCGCTGCAAAAATGGCAACTGCCAGGATTTTTTGATGGGTTTTGAGCGAAAACATGGAGTGAATGTATTTTTATAACCGCAGCAAAATTGACAACTGCCAAGTTTTTCTTAAGCATGGCAGCTGTCATTCAGCTATGAAATAAAGATACTTTTTATGTTTTTAAACACTCAAAACAACTGGAAAAGCGGAAAGCGGAACAGCAACCGGACAGTTTTAGTGCAAGTCATCGACGTGTTTTGAGATTTCACAAGTAAACATTTGCGTCCAACTGGTAGCAACTGCAGGCAGCCTTTCACAGAGAAATATTGAAGTTTAGGTTTTACATGGTTTTACCCAAACAAAATGGGATATAGACTATATAGATACCATCCGGTGATCAAACATGGCAAAATTTCAAACTCCACCGTTGATGTTTTTCCCATCGTTTTTCCCAGCGTCTGACACCTCATTTCTAGGGGATTCCCCGTTGCCACGTTTGATTACCGGAGGGTTTTTCGCATTTTTAGGATAGGGGCCTTGGGTGTGTTGAGAATGCGGGCCTTAAACACGGCCTGGCTCAACTTAGAAATAACTATGAAATGCATGACACATGACACTAGTTTTTCTGTCCTTGCAATATGTGCGCAACAGAATGTAACCTCATCTAACATGGCTGTAGTCATTTTTAACAGGTAAATCAGTCACAACGGATCTAAGAAATTCCATCGAACAGCATCTTTTCTCCTTTTTTTCAACCTCATCTAACATCAGTTTCCATTATATGATATTATATGTTCCAGTCAAAAATCCTCATTTTTTTCAGAGATCCAGGCGGCAAGAAGGTCGAAGCATCATCCCGGCTGAGTCCATAGGTGCTTTGTGTCAGATCGTTGCTGCCGAAGCTGAAGAACTCCGCAGACTGCGCCAACTTCTCGGCCTCGCAACGCGAGGCCTATGGAAAATGGGCAACATGATGAAGCAGTGAATTTGGGGCTCCCCTATTTTCATCTATTTTTCATAGATTTTTCATTGGTTTCCTTCGAAAAAATGGGAAGATCCAACTCCACACGCTGGCAAACTTACGTGGCAATAACGAACATCCCCAATGGAAGTTTGAAGTGGTTTTTCCTGGGAAATCAACGCGCTTCAAACAATGCTGGATTTTCCAGGGTTTCATGACACAAGAGGTGTATCTATCATCTCCAACTATTCCACCAACCAATCAACACCTGTTTCGCCTGCAAACAGGCCCGCGGCAACTCCACCATGGCCCCAATGTGATACTTGAAGCTCATCCCTTGCTCTCGCTGCACTGCCAGGACCGTTTTCTCCACGACCAGTTTTAAGATCTTGAACTCCTAGGGCTGATGACCAAATATCCACCGAAATATCCACCTGTCCCAATAGCCAACCATTTTACACCGTTTTACATGACCAGTTTTGATTGTTTATGTAAACCAATTTAACCAGAGGGTTTTTTCACAAATCCCCCATCATTAAACACATCATTTTCAAGGTGAAAAATCCATCATTTTTTCATAGCTAAATCAATCCAATCCACCCCGAGTGGCTCCTCCACATGTGACACCAAGGGCACCATCACCTCCACTGTGGGCACCTGTTGGCGTCGTCCCAGACTAGCCACGGCTTCGAAGATGGCGCGCGTTTGCATCTGGCAGATCTCAGGGTAGGTGATGGCCAAACGACAGCCACGATGACCTAGGGAGATCATAGGGAAGACGGTGGATGGCTTGATTTCTGGGAAAGATCTGGTAAATATGGACAGTCTTGGGGCTGTCCGAAGCTGATGTTCCATGATTTTCTGGGAAAATTCTTGGGGGAATATGGAACATACCTGAGAAAATCTGGGGAAAATGGAGAGAATTGTCAAACCTCAATGGATTGATTTAACCAGCTAAAAACTCACTTCCAAAAAAAAACATAACCAATAAACGTATTACAACCCAGCTATATAAATGGCATATTTCCTCTTATAAATGGGTATTGTATACAATTGATTACAATTGTATGCATATATTCAAGACGTATGGATATTTGGGTTTAAAAACTTGTACCCATTAAAATAGTTAGCAGCTATGGACGTTCATCCCCCACAAATATGGCGTCAGTATAAATGGGTTTTGATCCATACCCAGACGGTACAATTCGAAGATTTATGGGCAAAATAGGGGCAATAATCAGTGAATTTGAGACTCAAACGTGGCTTATTGGTTTCATGAAACATTTTATGGGAAAATGTAGGTCGCAATAATCAACAAAATTGCGAGGCATGGATTGTTTCGATATGATTCGATGTCAGATTTCTAGAAGCGGACAGCAGTCCGCATACCATTTCTGTACGTGCCAAGCCTCTAAAACCATTGGGGCACCTTCCTCCAATCCGGATTTGTTGCTTGTGTTCCCCACTTTCAAGATGTTCCCGCATTTCTTGATACCCCTTGGGCCAACTATACTCACATATTTTCATCACCAAACATCACTGGTTGGTGGTGTACCTACCATCTTGAAAACTATGAAAGTCAATGGGAAGGATGACATCCCATATGTGAAATGGAAAACAAAAGTCGTGTTCCAAACCACCAGATCAATCTTTGTCCAATACTGCACTTACTGCACCCCATTTTTCTAATGGACTGTCCCTATGTATCAAATCCAAGCACCATAAAAATATCTCAAAACACCTGTAAACAACACACTTGAACCAACCTGACAAACAACAAGGAACAAATCCAAGATCATCATCAAACTTAGATGTTCTATAGATTTTCCATCACACCGCACCCGTTATTTTCATAGTCAATTCATTGAATTCATTTTTCATCATTTTTCCATTTGATATTTGTTGACTCCCCTTTCATTGTCAACATATTTTCATCATGACTAGATAAACAATCCACAACAAAACAGAATACATAAACAATAGAAAAAACAACAGAGAAACAATATATATATATATATCTGGGTAAATTATAATATTTCACTATAATTTACCCATATATATATATATATATATATGATATGAAAATGACATAAAAATGATATATACAGTAACTATCATGACTTCACCAAGCATCCCAGCATGGGATTCGCTTCCCTCAGCTCCGCGGTTCGTCGTTTCACCCGCTCCAGCGACGCCGGAACCCTGGCGCCCACGGCCGCGACGGCCGCCAGCCCTGCCTCCGTGCTGGGGAGGAACTCGTGCAGCGGCGCGTCCAGAAGACGCACCGTGACGGAAGGGAAAATCTCAAAGAGGTCCTTGGGAAATAGCTTGGAAGTAGCTTGGAAATAGCTTGATGTTGGGAAATGTTGGGAAATGATCAATTGTTTTTCAGTTATAGCTATTTTTGGACATTGTGAAGCAATGGGAAGGTGGAATTTATTCAAGGTGAGGCCCACAAGACCAACTTATCACTGGTGAGCACCACATAAACAAGGGAACCCCAATCCCATGATACGCTGTCACCATGGTCGACTCCCATACCACTTCTAGAGATATAGTTGGTTCCCCATAGTTGGTTGGTTGGAGTTACAGCTATTTTTCGAAAATCATACACCAATGGGAAAGTGGATACAGGGACCCTCCCACACTCCGATAGGAAACCCCACGATGGTTTCGACATCTTATGGGAATAGCGGTACCATGATTAGGGGTCCTATAAATTCCATGGACTTAGGACGGTTGGAGTCCTTGGTCTGGGGCTTTGTTGATCAAACTTAGCTCAATGGCTATGAAAAAATTAGGGCTATCGGGATGTAAAAAGAGTTGTGTCATGGTGGTTGTTGCTATCTATGGTTTAGATTTTTAGGTTATTAGCCAACTGACATGTCTTTTTCTCTTTTTTTTTTTTAAACTATTTTCGCTGGTAATTTGGGAACCATGGAAAAGGGATTGGAGTTACTCAAATATGTGGGGCTACCATTCAGGCATGCGTTCCTTTTTCTAAAGACACTGGAAATATGTTGCTGCGTTAGAGTTACCATTATTTGATATTTGGGGGTTCTTCACCAAGTTTAATCTGGCTATCATTGAGGCTATTGACCAACAAATGGACATTTTTGTCTGAGTGGTATCATTCAGCTTGGCGTTGGTTATCAGGCCAACCATAACCAACCATAACCATTCAGATCTTTGAACCAACGGATCCTGTCACCAGCTGTTGCTACTGGTGGGAGATGAATTCATTCCGCAAATGGGGATGGAGATTGGAGATTTTTTGAGAAGATTTGGGAATAGCCTCTGAAAGCTACTGGTCACTTAGGGGTTGCTATCCAGTTTTAGGATGCTTCGGGCAACTTCGGGAAAACAATATAGATTGTGCAACATGACGGAACCTGCAAGAGTAGGCATATTCATCAGCAAACCTCAGGAGGTTTCGCAACAAGATCGAACTGGTATTTACAACACATTATCATACATCTGCCCATCTGCCCACTTGATGTGGAACAAAGTGGAACAAACAAAAACATTCCCCCGTTTTTGGTGGGCGCTTAAAAGCTCCATGAAAATCCAACCCGGAATTCCAACATTTTCCAACCAGGCGTCCGCAAAATCTTGGCGTTGCATCTCCAGGAGCTTCTGCAGAGCACTTTGCCGCTCCTTTTCGTCCTGGACCGAAAAGGAGACCGTTGAGCCTTTCCCATGGAGGAGCCCCAAATCTGGTGCACATACTAGCAAGGACCACTAAGCTTCTGGTGCTTTTCACCCCCAAATCTCATGGGAAACCCCGTAGCAGAGTCGAATCCTGTTTCGCTGAACATGACCAGATTGATATCGAATCCAATGTGGCTCCATTTAAGATGGTTTTCTGGAAATTTTCAAACGAAGCCAACCATCAAAGCACTCAGTTTTTTCAGAGCTAGAACGAGTTTTCACATGAAGCAAAGCATTAGACATCTGCTTCAACCTTTTTCCACACACCAATTCACAAGCTCATACTAAACAATGATAATTAAATGAGCACCCCACACATGCTTTTAATCAGTAAAAATGGAACATAAAGAGATCTTGCACTTAGTAAACATTTATCATCACTTATCATCAACTTCACTTTAACATTAGCTCCACCAAGCATCTGCCGCCAAAATCATCTGTCGCATAGCCACAATCCGCTCACCTTCAAAGAACATGTGCTCGGTGCCTCAGGGCATCCACCATCCACCATCACTCACAGCGACAGAGTCTATGTGTAGTTTCATGAAAATTTGAGACCCTCAGCTTTTGATATCTTGGGATATCTTATGGGATTATTTGGGTTTAATTGATTTAAGTCTCCTGGTTGGTGGCTTCATTTCTAAGCACCTTTTTCAAATCGTTTTTCCCCGTTCCGAAAGCCATCATTTGAAACCATTTACCAAGGCCCTGGTTTTAATGGGTTGGAAAAAAACTTAAAACCCGACAGGGCCATTAAATAAGGCCAAACATATGCCAATTTTGTGGTACTTTGATTACTTGGATCCTATCTGGCCTTCTGGCAGCTCTTGTGGTGCCGCTGTGCGAAGCTCTAAAGTAACCATTGTTCAGCTCTCAATGGTGGAATTACACAATGGTTATAAAACCGTTAACCATATAGACCATATATGAACCATCATTCACCATTAACCTTTTCGAAACCTTTCTCAACCCCGATGAAAAAAGCATGATTTTTTCCATGATCATCCAAGGAATTCATCCAAGATGCGAACCAAGCCAATTCCCTCAGCTCCGAAGAGCTTCGCTCGTTGCGCGTCACATGGCGTCTCTGCATTGCAACGCACCTGCAAGGTGCGGTACCTGGCAGGGCAGAAACATCATCCAAATTGTCTGTTTTCATGAGGTTTAAATGGCTATTAAATGGCGAAAAAAACATGAATATTCCCATCCTCATCATCTACAAAATAAAATCTGGTTATATCTGGTTAAACATGTTTTGAATAGGTTATATCTGGAAACTGATCCAACTTATGATGCACATTGATGCACACAAAACGTTAAAGGGATGTTAAAGGGATGTAAACAGATCCCAACAAATTGAAAATGAAAAACATTGGGACAAACCATTTTCGGAAAAAACCGCATGGGCAAAACCTCAAACTATCCATTTGGCAATGTCCGAAGTCCGAAGTAGCACCGGTTTTGACCGGTACCCATGGTGAGTATGGCACCCTAGTGACACCAAAAAATGAACCTTCTAAATCCTCATCATAGAAAAAACCCAAATCCAGATAGTGGCCGAAATGGGGTATCATGAACATACAAGATAGTCTATTATTTGCACAGAATACAGTCCCAGAGTCCCACCCATAGATCTCCTCAATGATGGATAACCAAATGGATTTTAATACCAACCATCTGCAGCAAATTTTGGGAACAACTGAGAGACCATCAGCCACTAAGGTAACAAATCATTGTTTTTTTACGCAAAAACATGCGAACACCCACATTCTTTCATCAATTGTCCATCGTTTTCCACGGTTTTGCCTCCGCCAAACATGGGAACATTCATCCCTTTTTCAAAAATCATCAATTTGCCCAAATTTTCCATGGTTTTTCCACCAAAAAAATTGAAAAATACCATGATTCAAGGTGCTCATCCGCCCACGTCATGATGGTTCGGAAGGCTTTGGACAGCTTAGGGGTCACGGTGGGCACCTCACCCAAAAGCACTTCACCTCCGAAAAATCTGGAGAAAACATGGCATATTCATGGCAAAACATGAGACATATATGGGAACATATGGGACTTTTGGGGGATATGATAAGGATATGAATGGTATGGTGGGGATTTCGGATGTTTGTGGAACTTAGTCAAACATTTGGTGATTTAATGAGAATATTCATGGAAATTTCATGGGACATCTAACCAAATATCATGAAATCAAAGTTGGACTTACCCTCTGGCAAACGAAAATCCCATGGAAAATCCTATATAAATGGTTTTGTTTTCATCATCTGTAAATGATGGGTTTTCCACTGCTGTTCCAGAGCGATACCAATGGGTTCTGCAGGTCCCCAAAATCCGATTGCCAATCTGTCGGCCCATGAGGCTACAAAATTCCCCATGGTTTTTGGACCCAAAAAAAACGAAAAATCCACCGGAGAATCTACCCTGCCAGGAAAGACCAGATGGCTGGATCAGATGCAACCTTTAAGATGTTTCGAATCTCCAGTCTACCGGTAAAATTCTCACATTTTTGAGTGTTCATCTATGTTAGTCTCTTGTTTTTCATGAGTATCATACTACTTCGTTGTGATGTCCTCCCGGAATTATACAGAGGCCCAAAAAAACTGTTTGCCAAAAAGGGCCCCCCATCAATCCCCATGAAAAACATTAGCATCCATTGTATATATAAATATATGTATATATATATATATACTTATTTATATCCCCATGAAAATATCCCAGATATTTTCCCATCCAAATTCCATTAGCATCCATTCACAATAGATACACACACACATATATATATATATAAATACCATATACCCTCCAGTAATCAAAGCTGGCAATGGAAAATCCCACAGTTCGATGATCTTCCCAGCCACGACTAAAACCGGAGACACATCCAACTGTTGATTATAGCTGGTTCTAGTAAGATGTTCAGTAATATTCCATTAAATAGCGAAATTTCATTATCATTATATCCACACAATTCCAAATCCACATTTATATATTTATATCCCCATGAAAATCCCCATATATTTTCCCATCAAATTCCCCCCGTCCGTCGATGCCCTCCGCCTGTGTTGCCATCGATGGTCACCACTTGACCCTCCAACACTGCGACATCGCCCAGCGTCATGCGACGAGCCTGAGATGGAAAGCAAATTTTCCTCGGGAAAAGTCAAGAAGAATAGCATAGCTATGGGAAAAAGGTGGGAAAACATCGGAAACATGTGGGAAACATGTGGGAAACATATGGGAAACGATGGGAAAATATGGGAAAATGTGGGAAAATGTTGGAAACTATGGAAATATATGGATAGGAAAAAATGGGAAAATGTTGGAACATATGGTAAAGAATGGGATATGAATGGAATATGAATGGTGAATAAGAGGGATATTGATGACTAGTGATGACTATATAACACATTCATCTTGCGCATTCTATTGTCGTTAAGACATGTTGAGACCTTATACCTGTGTGTCTTTGTTGTTGCGTTTGCGTGGGGGAGATGAGGAACCCAACCGTGGTGGAACTTTTGTGAATCTATCAGTCTGCAACGCAAAGGTCAGTGGATCGCCCAGACTTCCGAATGCCACAACCTACCCTGGCGGAACATTCGCCGCAGGAAATGATCAGTAATTATGCTACGACATCCTACCAGACATTGGGATTTTGCGCCCTGCCATGTTTGTTCCCATTCGATTCCATCCATCTATATTGGAAAAACCTATAATATCCCACTATATGTATATATATATATTATTTGTTTCATAGATTTCCCCACATTTTCCATAGATCTTCGGAATTTTCCATGAATTTCCCCAGGTTAAGGCAAGGCACAGCATAATCCACCTGTACTTCCCTGGCCCCTGCCACACATGGGCGCCCCATGGTGCGTGCCACCACCGCGGCATGGCTCGTGACACCGCAGCGCGTCGTCAACACGCCCTCCGCTGCATGGAGGCCGTGAATGTCATCGGGGCTGGTTTCGATCCGCACCAACAGCACCTGAAAAATCGCTGGGATTTATGGATGATTTAGGGATCATCATCCCCTAAAATGTATGGGAAAATTATGTATTGATCCATAGCCATAATGTGAATTAATATTAATAATGCTACTTATGATGATATTTTTGTATACAATTAACAAATTATACATAAGATTATATATAGAAAATGTGTATGTATATCATGATATACCTTTTCTTAGTAATATTAGGGTCAATATTGAATGTTAACGACTAAGACACTAATAGCCTCTAGTGTCGTCAAACATTGCAATTGCAGGGAAGTCACCAAACATCCAAACCAAATCGGTATCTATCTATCGAATCTAATCTAATCTAATCTATCTATCTATCTATGTATGTAGAGATATCTATCTATCTATCTATGTATCTATCTATGTATCTATCTATCTATCTATCTATGTATCTATCTATGTATCTACCTATCTATCTATCTATGTATCTATCTATGTATCTATCTATCTATCTATCTATGTATCTATCTATGTATCTATCTATCTATCTATGTATCTATCTATCTATCTATGTATCTATCTATGTATCTATCTATCTATCTATCTATGTTCTTATCTATGTATCTATCTATTGTATCATCTATGTAATCTATCTACTATCTATCTATGTAAATCTTATCTCTGTATCTATCTCTTGTATCTATCTATCTACTCTTCTATCTATTAAATCTATCTATAGTATCTATCTATGTTCTTATCTATCATCTATCTATGTATCTATCTATTATTCTATCTATCTAGCTATTTCTTCTATCTATCTATGTATCTATCTATCTATCTATGTATCTCTAGTATCTATCTATCTATCTCCTATCTACCATCTATCTATGGCATCTTCTATCTATCTATCTATCTATCTATCTATCCTATCTATCCTATCTATCTATCTATTTTATCTATGTATCTATCCTATGTATCTATCCTATCTATCTATCTATCTATCTATCTATCTATCTATCCTATCTATCCTATCTATCTATCTATTTTATCTATGTATCTATCCTATGTATCTATCCTATCTATCTATCTATCTATCTATCTATCTATCTATCCTATCTATCCTATCTATCTATCTATTTTATCTATGTATCTATCCTATGTATCTATCCTATCTATCTATCCTATCTATCTATCCTATCTATCTGACCCTGTCTATCTATCCTATCTATCTAACCTATCTATCTATCCTATCTATCTATCCTATCTATCTATCCTATCTATCTATCCTATCTATCTATCCTATCTATCTATCTATCCTATCTATCCTATCTCTATCTCTCTATCTATCTATCTATCCTATCTATCTATCTATCCTATCTATCCTATCTATCCTAACTATCCTATCCTATCCTATCCTATCCTATCCTATCTATCCTATCTATCCTATCTATCCTATCTATCCTATCTATCCTATCTATCCTATCTATCCTATCTATCCTATCTATCCTTATCTATCCTATCTATCCTATCTATCCTATCTATCCTATCTATCCTATCTATCCTATCTATCCTATCTATCCTATCTTTCCTATCTTTCCTATCTATCTATTTATCTATTTATCTATCGATCCATCTATCTATCTTTCTTTCTAATCTAATCCAATCCAGTCTAATCTAATCTAATCTATCTACCTATCTATCTTGTTATCTGTCTGTGAATAATATGTTGGAAGGGAGTTGGAGCCACCAATCAGATTATTACTTTTTCGCTGAAAAGGTTGAGGTTGGTGGACACCTTTGTCTTTCCGCCTTGACCACACTTGATCTTAGTACGGCTATGGCCATTCTCTGGCCACGTGCTGTGGGTCCTTGTCGATCCCTCCATGAATTTCTGATCTGCTCCGTCATGTGGCCCTACATCAAGGTACGAGCCGACCCGGAGCAGGATGTTGCGGTGGAAAAAAAGGGGTGGGGTGGCGTCGGCTGGGTCAATCTGACGAAAACGGTCTGTCTCGCATCAACATCCACCAACTTTTTTTGTTACGGTGAAGCCCCTGGAAAACTTATACTGTAAAATAGGATGCGCTGTTTATGCTGGCATAGAGATGCATATTGTATGCCGTTGCCTGCTGGTGCCCGTGAATGTGTTTTTTCTTTATGGATCATGAAGCTTCTTGGACCCCATATAGATGGAATTTTATTTGGAACTCCAATTAGCGGGATTTATAACAGATATTGCGGCAACAGATACATCGAACTAGTTAATGTGTTCTTCAAACCAACAAACATACTTGGGGGCACCACCTTGTATTTTTGCCAAGATGCATGCCCGTTGGCCATCCAACACTGCACTGGGAGATATTTTTTTGAGTTCGGCAAGCTATGAGCAACATATCAACTGTAAATTCAGGTGAAAAACATGCCTAATTTTTGAATTCTTAAACGGGACACACACATTTTCCCATAGAAATTAAATATGTTTGAGCAGCATGTCCCAATTAGAATTTACTGACTAGCCTGTTAACCCTATTGCTGCAACCTGGCCAAAGGGTTGAGGATAGATTGCCCATATTAGGGATTATCATCCACTAGGGGTTCACATTCTATTATTTTGGGAATTCCTACTGGTTGGTTTGGATTTCCAGAAAGAAGTCATGAATCCCATGCATAGTACCCTCCAGAAGGATGTCGAAAACTTAGAAACCTGGAAATGATTTTCAGGAAACATCATGGAACTTACATCCTGGTATTATTTGTCTTGATCTTTTGACCCTACAACCCGAAAACGACACATTGCTTGAGCCATGCCGTCTTCATCATCCCAGCTTCCAAGGTGACGGTGGGGCCAAGTCTCCAGTGGTGTTGCATTGCGCCTCGTCCATGGGTCCATGGCTGGGAGATCTGTGGGAAATCCCGGCGCGTTTGAAGCAACAAGAGGGTACCCTCTGGTAAACAAACATAGCTATGGGAAATCACCATCTTTAGTAGGTCAACTATAAATGTCCCATGTTCAATAGCAAACTATTGACATAACCAGAGGGTAAATGATGGTTAGGTTTCTAGTCCTGAAATCTTAGTGGGTTTAGGGCTTCACATCCATTTTGCATGCCCAAATATGGATCATATGGGATCCCAAGTCATGAACAGATTCAAGACTGATTGGGTTCTTGTTGGCTCATTGGGAAAACATAGCTGCTATTTGCATGTTTGGAAGTAGTGCTTTGGTATTGTGAGGTGCCATTTGGAGACTTGGTTGTGGGAATTGAGATTCATTTTGCAAGCGGGCTTTGTGGCATATTATGATATATTATATTATATTATAATACAATATAACATAACATAACATAATATAATATATAATTTCATAAATAGCATAATGTAATATAACATCACATCATATAATATATTTTTAGTAAATATCAGACATAATATAATACAACGTAATAAAAATAATATACTATCATATAATATCATAAGATATATCATTTAACATATAGTATAATATGGTATAATATAGTATAATATAATAGAATATAATATTATATAATATATTACAATGTGATATATTTTGCATAATATAGCATGATATGATTATTTAATATAATACAATATCATATAATATGACATATAAAATAGTATAATATGATATATTTTTATTTAATATAATACAATATAATATGATATAATATAGTATAATATAATTTGTTATAATATAGTATGATATAATATAAATCAATATAACACAATAGACATCGGCAAAATATGGACTTCTCATTTCCATGCTTGATTACCGGAGGTGAAATACTATACATAGCGTGAATGTTTGGATGTTTCTTGGTTGCATCCAAAAATTGCCACACGCCATCTTCAGACCTGCCATGGTGTTGGTGCCGAATTTTCCAAGGCTTCCATGCCAAGAAGGGGCAAAGAGAGGTGCCGCTGAAGCCCGCTTTGGTCTTCGCTGAGGCGTGCCGAAAGTGGAGGATTTACCCCGAACCTAGGTGCCAAAAACAAGGTGCCGGCGCCTAAAAGGTACCATGCGTTTGTGCCCAATTTTCTCCATTGCTTATATACTTGTCTACTACGTCTCTTGGGGTTGGTTGGGTGGGTGGGTTGGGGCAATAACGTCCTTGCACTTCCGTACTTAATGTACTTTTCCTGTGCATACGTCATACACTTGGGGTGGAGTGGTTGACTTGGGGTGGGTTGGGGCAACAACGTCCTCGCACTTGCGTACTTAATATACTTTTCCTGTGCCTGCGTCATGCACTTGGGTTCGGGTTGGTTGACTTGAGGTGGGCGGTAACGTTCTTGCACTTGCGTCGTATTTCAATTAGTTGATGCTACGTCACAAGAACTTCGCTAGACTCGGCCCTAGACTTCATGCTACGCTATGTTGGTTTCTCTTATACTTCTTATATAACATCCAGCTACGTTGTATATCAACTAGTTGATGCTACGTCAGAAGAACTTCTTTAGACTCACAACTATGGCAGCAATAAAGTTTGAGGTGGCCCCGTGACTTGAACAAATGTGCGAAGTCTTGGAAAGGCTTTCAAACATGACATCTTCAGCGAACCCTTTCAGTGGTTTTGACAGCTTTTCAAACATTGATTCAATGTGAAGTTGTTCAAAACCACCAATTTTCGGTGATTGTCAAAGTCACCATCAATCCGAAATGGCCATGAACGCACGGCACCTTACCGGCGCCGGCACCAAAAACAACTACCATGATTTCATGATGAGGATGATTTATACCACCCATATAAATGGTGATGACTTGGGGATGGTTTTGGGTTTCTCACATTATGTGATTGATGGTTTGAGAATTAGTGTGCTACAACCACACAAAAGGGATGAGTGGTTGGGATGACGAACATATTCTTGGGACTTTTTGAGATGGGTTGAAGCCACCATAGAGAGATATGGAAAATTGCTTACAACTGCGAGAAGCCATTGGTTTTTGGGGAAAATGTCCCTTGAATTTTCAGGGACAAGCCAAATCTCTAAGCGAACCCCTGGGATGTGCTTGATCTCCCTCAAAGTCACTCATCCCCAGAGAAAATTGGACCGTCCAAGTTGGGGGATGGTCACACTTTGTTACCTACCCGAAACGGTGTCATCAAACATGGCAACTGGAAACCCCCGAACTAGCCATGGAGGTTTAGTTCGCTGGGAAAATCATCAAATATCTAGAAATCATCTAGAAATATCTTGAAATCATCTAGAAACATCTAGAGATATCTAAATGGTTTATCCATTGCCACGTTGGCCATCTTTGATTACCAGAGGCTATGCGTTTTATGTTTCTGATGGACGAGGAGTTCACCCACGAGAATGTACCAGCCTATGGCAGACATCAGCCACGTGTTTGACCTTCTTGTTTTTGGGGATGCCTACAAATTCCTGCAAATCATCTCAAATCAATCAATACAGAAATATACATATCATAAATATACTAAAAAGGCACTATTTGAATATGTATTGGCTGTATATTTGACTCCCTCTGATCATATCAATCAATAAGTTTTACTAAATCGTCAATATTTAGTAGAAATTCATTTTCGAACCCCCAAGTTATGGCAGGGTCAACCTGTTCATGTAGGGGACCGTAGGCATGCCTCGGCCTGATACAACGTGCGGGTCAGCGCGTCATCACGGTGACATCGCCCCTGCCGGAAGCATGGCGAGATATTTTTTCCCTGTCACCAGGGATTTCACCCCCCTTTTGGGAGGGAGGTCTTTAAAATCCAGAAATATGAGAAAACATGATAAAGCATGAAGATGTAAAAACCTACATATTACATATATATATATATATATATGTGTGTTTGTATGTATGTGTATATATATTATTAAATATGTATACATATATATATACATATGCATAGAGCTGATAAATGATGGTTGTTGATGTTGCTTGATGATTAGTTGGGGGTTGTACTGTTCAAATACTCCCAATCTACGGGAGATTATCACAGTGCATGAGCTGGGAGATCCGATCAACCGACGGGTATGAAGGGACTTCAATCAATGTTCAATTGGTTTGGCTCGAACATATGCCATCTCTCTTGCCCTCATTGCACACAAACATTGGGCATTTACACAAAAGATGTGCTGGCACACCATTGAAACCATGGCCATTGTCTGAACGGTTCTATTGTCAACCCGATTTTCCCATCGTCCCCAGTGCCCCAAACATCTTTTTGGGAAGCATCAACGGCAGGATTGTGCCAGTACCTAAGGATGGGAACTGGGGCAGTCCAGCTTATAACATCTGGGCCCCATACGTTCCACCCGCTCTAAAGCTAGTTAAAATTTCATAGTCACCATGTGAAGGCATAGTATAGGTATGTTATAGTGAGTTATAGTGAGTCATAATAAGTGGCAGTAAGTTTTAGTAAGTTCCAGTAAAATGGTAAGTTTGTTGATTGCTGTTAGCTGCGGCGTATTGCACTTCTCCCCAGTTGCAAGTAATTTACTAATACTGGTTGGTGGTTTGGAAGATTTTATATTTTGCCATATATTGGGAATAATCGTCCCAACTGACTTTCATATTTTTCAGAGGGGTAGGTATACCACCAACCAGTAATTTACCAATACTATGTCCAGGGATTTCATTGGATCTCATCCTGTATGTTTTGTGCCGAGGAAACCCATTTCTTCGGTGAATTACCTGGAGCCTTCGTCGAGAACAGGCCCAACCAACCGGTCCCATGCTTTCCCCTGGAAAAAAAGGGCTGGGACGATGGTTCTACCAGAGGATGATTTACCCATTTGGGTTTCGCTTCAGGGCATAATTTGCATAATCAACTTAAGTGGATGATTTAGCCTCCGGCCATGGGGGAAAGGCCCCAGCCACGTAGCCTTGTTTATGATATGGAGTGGTGTATATCCCAGGTAGCCATCGATCCTAACTTCAGGTGGATCTCAACATTGGCAGTATAAAGATTGCTAGCTCAGTTTATCACCAAACAATCGCCCAACTAATCTATTATGATTATTATGATATAATTATCACACATTTCTTTGTATAATCCCTTCCCCATGATATCACATACCCATCCAAAACAAATGTTACAGTGTTGGGCCCGCCCGACTTTTTCTGGAAAGTCATCCGCACAGATCCAACCATCATTTCCATACCCCGAACATCCTCAAACCCGCTAAGTGCAGCTTGGGCAATCAGAAGTGACCAGAAATTCTGCTGGTTTCTGTGAGGCTGCTGGGCGACTTGGGTATCACCACGAGTTGCAGGTCATAGAATTGAAGGGGATTTACCTGCATTTTTTTCGCTGGGAAGTCCATTGTTTTCTCCAACATTTTCCCAACGCAGCCAATCCATCCCGATTTTCTCTCGGTTTTCGATAGTTAAATCTTTAATTGTTGATGGTTACCCTTCCCAAAACGACCATAAATCCTGAACATGGCCATCTTCAATTGTGGAGATGGATCCCCTATCGTTGGTCAACTTTCATCAACTTTTAAACATCAAGAATTTAAGATGAGGCAATCAACAGTTGTTGATGTTTACCGACTCCAGACATTGACATTAAAATTACTTTACTTCGAGTTATCCCCACCATGACATTTATACGTTTTGTTACTGGCAAATCTTCTGGCATTCTATCTGACATACCTTCTGACATTTTATCTGGCGTATCTTCTGGCACTCTATCTGGCATATCTTCTGGCAGATCTTCTGACATTCTATCTGGCATTCTATCTGGCAAATCTTCTGGCATTCTATTTGGCAAACATTCTGGCACTTTATCTGGCATACCTTCTGGCATTCTATCTGACATTCCATCTGGCATACCTTCAAGGCATTCTATCTGGCATATCTTCTAGCATATCTTCTGGCATTCTATCTGACATTCTATCTGGCATATCTTCTGGCATTCTATCTGGCATTCTATCTGGCAAATCTTCTGGCATTCTATTTGGCAAACATTCTGGCACTTTATCTGGCATACCTTCTGGCATTCTATCTGACATTCTATCTGGCATACCTTCTGGCATTCTATCTGGCATATCTTCTGGCATTCTATCTGGCAAACATTCTGGCACTTTATCTGGCATATCTTCTGGCATTCTTTCTGACATTCTATCTGGCGTTCTATCTGGCATATCTTCTGGCATTCTATCTGGCCGTTGAGGTCCAGCGGTGCACACTGAGCTGGGCAGGTCCCAGGTTGAGGTCCAGCAGTGCACACTGAGCTGGGAAGGTCCCAGGTTGAGGTCCAGCGGTGCACACTGAGCTGGGCAGGTCCCAGGTTGAGGTCCAGCGGTGCCCACTGAGCTGGGAAGGTCCCAGGTTGAGGTCCAGCGGTGCACACTGAGCTGGGAAGTTGGCAAAGAGCTTGGCGAAGAGTTGGCAAGGCGGAAGTGAACATGGAAGTGGAGGCAGAGCAGGTGGAGGAGAAACTGGAGGAGGAGGCGGAGGAGAAGGAGGAGGAGGAGGACGAGGAGAAGGCGGAGGAGGAGGAGGCAGTGGAGGACAGCTAGCGAGGAGGAGAAGAACAGCTCTGATAAAATCTAACAACCCTCACCTGGCAGGTGGGGAAATACGCAAAAGTATGGAACAATCCATGAAAAGCCAGCATTTTCCGAGGCTTTTCCTGTTTTCCGCATCCACCAGGCCCGCCTCGTCGCGGGCGCTGTGGTCCTTGCTCAGGGCGCAACGTTGCGCTGAGGCGATCATGGTGGCAGGATTTCGTAACCATCCACATTGTGTTAATGGTAGAGTTGGGCTTGTTGTTAATGGGGTTCTTAACGGGTAATTGTAGTGGTTTATAACATGGGTATATGGGTTAAGAACTACTTCTCAACCCATTATATAAGTGGTATAACCCATTATAGTGGTTTATAACATGTTATGTTGTAGAACTACTTAATTGGGGTTAGCCTCATGGCTACAAGGATATGTTTTTTTCCTGCATAAGTTGAGATTTGATATGATATAGAAACGCTACAATTATATAATTATGGTTGCATATCCCACTTACAACCGGAACCGCGCCCCCCAACGAAATTTAGCTAATGTATAGGTTAAGATTGTGCTGGTGTAGCAATTTTTGGTTGTGGATGGTCCCTAAACATCTCTTTTTGTGTTTGGGTGGAAAGCAGCCAGGATGTGGAGACAAACGTGGCGATTTTTTGTGAACCATTTGCACGAAACGCCCATATGATGGATTGAGACCACCGACCAGTGTGTCCTGCAACAAACAAACAAATTCACAAACAAATGACATATGGCTGGGAAAGCATGCAGAGTAGCCAGAAATCTGCAGCCATCTTTTCTCAAGCCTTGATTCAACCTGTTCGCTTAGAGCGAGAGGCTCGCTGAGCGGCGTTTCCAATTTCCGCACCAGGCAATGAGCTTCTCGGCTTATTTTGTGGAGTTTTTGTGTGCAAATGGAAGTGCGTGGTTTGTGTAGGGACATAACATATATGTAACAATAAAGTAAAAAGAACCATAGAATACAATGCTGCAGGCTTCCCAAAAATAACACAATTAATTGAAGAAAGAGGGCTGTACTGTACAGTATCAAATTTCGGAATGATTTCAATCAATGATAATCTATGAGAATCCATCATTATTGTTTTTTGCTACATATGATTCCCGGAAACACGATTCATTGATTCATGAATTTGACATGGTCAATGGTATTGATAATCTGTTGATCATCTGATCATATGGTAACCATTTTTGCCCAGCTCAAACTTCATTAGGCTTAATTGCTTCAGATTCCCGCCCATTCCAACGAGGTAAGTATGGCGCATTATCCAGATCCGAGGGGCACTCCAAGTGGTTTTTGCAAAAGACCTTGCTGGAGCACCACAAGTCCATGGATCACCCATGGATGCAGATGATCTATAAGCAGGTCTTTAGTCTGAAGCAATACGCCACTTGGTTGGCCTTGAACCATGCCATTTTCGGGGCCATGGAAGAGACACTCGGCCTGCTGTTGAGCTAATTTGGTGAATTTTTTTCTTGCGTCAACGAATAATGAATCCTGTTGTTGGTGTCAAGGATCAACTATTTCCACTAAAAACTGCTCCCCAACTGTCTTGCACTTGGATTTTAACAGGAGCTCAAAATCAGATCAATCCAATTCTGTGGCGCCAAACCATCAAATGGAGAGGGCTGAAAACTAAGCACCACAGTGGAACCCAAATGAGCGTTCCATCCAATTCCTTGCTGAATTGGCTAAGTACCAATGATGATCAAAGCCAAATCAGCAAACAGATCAAAGAACATATCGTGTTGAGATGCGTTGGGCATAGTTGACTTCGATGCCAGAGAGAGAGAGGGAGAGAGAGAGAGAGAGAGGCAAATCAACAAAACAACGAATTAAGAAGTCCGTGAAATGGTAGCATCAAAAAACTCATTTAAATCACTTTCGCACCAGAACCAGTTTTTCCTAGTGATGAAATGACATGTTTAATCTGAAAATGACCACTCACAAATCCACCTCAACAATCCGCATGTTTCACCCCAAAACCTCCTCCTTGCTGCAGGAAGCTCTCGGAGCAGCCTCCCATCGGCACGGTGCACGATGCCGCGCTGCTCCGAACAAGCGCCTTGGAGGCGGACCTACGACGACTGCTGGGGCCCAACTGGGCTGAGGAGGTGGGCTGGAAATGGGGAATCAAGGTCTATTCGCCAGTCAAGATAGGTTGGTTGGTTGGTTCAAAGTCCAGATAGATTCGAATTTTGGGGCTCCAACAGGCAACAGCATCCAATCACGGAAAAGAGGGTCTTGACATGTTTGGACCATCAAATATTGGGAAATTCATGATCAGTAACCAGAGATAACCAGTGAAAAGGCTTTGACCATCAAACATGTGGATTTAACTCCCAAAAATACAGTTTGACCATCAAACATGGTGATTTCTTGACTGCAAAACATACTAGTGGTGTCATTATGGGAATATAGAGGTATGATGAGGCTAACATTCGGGTCATGCATAGCGACCTCGCTGGCCCAACTTGTTCCCATGAGAGATTGGGAACCACGGGGCTACATATACACATACATACATATATATATATGTGTATATATATATAATGTATACTACATATTTGCTGCGCACACATATATAGTAGATAGATTGATGGATAGACAGATAGATAAATAGATAGATAGGTAGACAGATTGATTGATAGATAGATAGATAGACAGGTGTAGAATTATCATGTGTCTAGCCCTTGATCCACCAGGAGACTCCCAAGCTTTGCGCCGCATCCAGCTCCACCCAGCGATATCTTCAGGGCTTGGAGAAAGATGTCCAGGGCGCCAGTGGTCAGTACCTTTTGTGACTCATCTCATGGGTCTCATGGGTTGATTAATCCCAATATGTTTAAGGGAAAACCTGCAGGAAACCCCTATAATCATCTATATTTGATGATAAAAGTCCATATTTGATGATATTTAGGTCTATATTTTACCATCTAAGTCTATAGTCCCTAGTTTTGATGGTAAAAGAAACCATATTTTCCCCTGGATTTTCCCTGAAACCAATACAGTGACTTGAGAAATGGTTGAGTTACTTTCCATTGAGGCGGCAATTTTCTGTGGGGAAAATGATGATCATCTGGCTTTGGTATCTGAGAATGTTGAAAGTACCATGGAAACCACCAAGCTGTTGATGAGTTGTCATTATTTGTTTCATTAACATGGCCATCTGTTGTGGGGTAAATCTTCTATGTTGTGTAGACACACCCATCCGAGGGGGTGCGACAGAAATGGCGGATTTAGCCCAATCTGTGGCACTTGCGGTGGGGAAAATGATAGTAACCCAACAGAGAGAGAGATAAAAGTTAAATCTAGTGATCTTACTCTATATCCGGACTATAGACTTAGATGGTAAAACATAGTAATATTATCATACCCATATAGCCATCACAATCCATCAAAATATAGTAATGTTATCAGTCTGCGTCTTTTTGAAGGTTGCTATATCTAGAAATGGGGTACTTTGTGAACGAGCCAAGGATTGGGGGCACGTGTTTTTTTTTCGGAACATGGGCTCTGCGGAGTGGAATTTTGTTGAGATGGTCAGGCGCAGAGCTCATCATTGAATTGGTGTCCAGCAAGTCATGTTGAAGTATCGAAAAGTAACAGTAACAGTACACATGTACTTATGGCTGGTTTTAGCTACTAACATGACTCAGATGGGGCATGTAAGAATCTGTAAGAATGCCTTTCATCCTTAGACGTTTTAGCCAATAATGATGCTAACCTTCCAGACTGGAAATGCTTGGGTTTCGCACTCAAACATCTGTGATCCTTTGGATGATGACTCTAGTTGACCTACCACTATATCAAGTATCAGAAGTCAATTTAGTCTTATCAAAGGAAGTTTAGGGGGAGAAACTTCCGTGTTACGGACTTTTAGAATGTCAGGGAAAGAGTTAGTCAAAGAAAGAGTTAGTGAGGGAAAGAGTTAGTCAAACAAAGAGGTAGTCAAAGAAACAGTTAGTCAGGGAAAGAGTTAGTCAAAGAAAGAGTTAGTAGAGGTTAGAAAGAGTTAGTCAAAGAAACAGTTAGTCAGGGAAAGAGTTAGTTAAAGAAAGAGTTAGTCAAAGAAAGAATTAGTCAAAGAAACAGTTAGTCAGGGAAAGAGTTAGTCAAAGAAAGAGTTAGTGAGGGAAAGAGTTAGTCAAAGAAAGAGTTAGTCAAACAAAGAGTTAGTCAAAGAAACAGTTAGTCAGGGAAAGACTGAGTCAAAGAAAGAGTTAGTGAGGGAAAGAGTTAGCAAAGAAACAGTTAGTCAAAGAAAGAGTTATCAAAGAAACAGTTAGTCAGGGAAAGAGTTAGTCAAAGAAAGAGTTAGTCAAAGAAAGAGTTAGTCAGGGGAAGAGTTAGTCAAAGAAAGAGTTAGTCAAACAAAGAGTTTAGTTAGTCAAAGAAACAGTTAGTCAGGGAAAGAGTTAGTCAAAGAAAGAGTTAGTGAGGGAAAGAGTTAGTCAAAGAAAGAGTTAGTGAGGGGAAGAGTTAGTCAAAGAAAGAGTTAGTCAAACAAAGAGTTAGTCAAAGAAACAGATAGTCAGGGAAAGAGTTAGTCAAAGAAAGAGTTAGTGAGGGAAAGAGTTAGCAAAGAAACAGTTAGTCAGGGAAAGAGTTAGTCAAAGAAACAGTTAGTCAGGGAAAGAGTTAGTCAAAGAAAGAGTTAAAACTCTAGGATCGTTCCCTCACTGTAAATGGCATTGCAAGTGGTGCTGGTGGAGGAGTTGCCTATGGAGTTTTGGAGGAAGTCTCGCACGAAATGCGTTTTTGAGAGATAGCAGACGCACGAAACCCTATGTTTTTCCATACAAAGTGCGTCCCCGAACCTCGATGATCTACCTCTGCGGTGCGACGGGTGCGAGACGGTCTCGTGTGTGGTCGGATCATTCTCGGATCATGGTCGGATCGGTTCCGCATTGTAAATGGGGTTTCAAGTGTTTTCGTGCATGTGCGGTCGACAGAATTCCATTGTGATTTGCAACTGTAGGATCGTTCCCGCAATGTAAATGGGATTGCAAGTGGTGCTGGTGGATGAGTTGCCGATGGAATTTCATTGTGATTTGCAACTGTAGGATCGTTCCCGCAATGCAAATGGCATTGCAAGTGGTGCTGGTGGAGGAGTTGCCGATGGAGTTTTGAAGGAAGTCTCGCACGAAATGCGTTTTTGAGAGATAGCAGATGCACAAAACCCTATGTTTTTCCAGACAAAGTGCGTCCCCGAACCTCGATGATCTACCTCTGCGGTGCGACGGGTGCGAGACGGTCTCGTGTGTGGTCGGATCATGCTCGGATCATGCTCGGATCATTCTCGGATCGGTTCCGCATTGTAAATGGGGTTTCAACTGTTTTTCGTGCATGTGTGGTCGACAGAATTCCATTGTGATTTGCAACTGTAGGATCGTTCCCGCATTGCAAATGGGGTTGCAAGTGGTGCTGGTGGATGAGTTGCCGATGGAATTCCATTGTGATTTGCAACTCTAGGATCGTTCCCTCACTGCAAATGGGATTGCAAAGTGGTGCTGGTGGAGGAGTTGCCGATGGAGTTGTGAAGGAAATCTCGCACGAAATGCGTTTTTGAGAGATAGCAGATGCACGAAAGCCTATGTTTTTCCATACAAAGTTCGTCCCCGAACCTCGATGATCTACCTCTGCGGTGCGACGGGTGCGAGACGGTCTCGTGTGTGGTCGGATCATCCTCGGATCATGCTCGGATCATTCTCGGATCGGTTCCGCATTGTAAATGGGGTTTCAACTGTTTTTCGTGCATGTGTGGTCGACAGAATTCCATTGTGATTTGCAACTGTAGGATCGTTCCCGCAATGTAAATGGGATTGCAAGTGGTGCTGGTGGATGAGTTGCCGATGGAATTCCATTGTGATTTGCAACTCTAGGATCGTTCCCGCACTGTAAATGGGATTGCAAGTGGTGCAAGTGGAGGAGTTGCCGATGGAGTTTTGGAGGAAGTCTCGCACGAAATGCGTTTTTGAGAGATAGCAGATGCACGAAACCCTATGTTTTTCCATACAAAGTCCGTCCCCGAACGTCGATGATCTACCTTTGCGGTGCGACGGGTGCGAGACGGTCTCGTGTGTGGTCGGATCATGCTCGGATCATGGTCGGATCATGGTCGGATCGGTCTCGGATCGGTTCCGCATTGTAAATGGGGTTTCAACTGTGTTTCGTCTATGTGCGGTCGACAGAATTCCATTGTGATTTGCAACTGTAGGATCGTTCCCGCATTGTAAATGGGATTGCAAGTGGCGCTGGTGGATGAGTTGCCAATGGAATTCCATTGTGATTTGCAACTGTAGTATCCTTCCCGCAATGTAAATGGGATTGCAAGGTTGCTTCCTGCTTTGGCTGCATACGTAATACTATTGTCTTTTGCAGCTGGACTTCGTAAATCGTATTGGAGTGGCTGCATGAAGGCTGCGACAGTGATTTGTCAGCAGATTTTCTCCATTTTTGCGCTAGTGATTTTCCTTCTAAAAATCCTTTTAAAAAGTGCTTCAAAATCGTCTTTTTTTCGCTCTGGCGTCGAGATCCGGTTTTGGAGCTACAATTTCCGACGCCGTTGCGCGTAGTTCTATTGTGTTTTGCAACTCAGTCTCTGCAGATCGCATTGTAATGGCTGCGTCAAGGTTGCTTCGTGCTGTGGCTGCATTTGTCATACTATTGTCTTTTGCAGCTCGACTTCGTAAATCGTATTGGAGTGGCTGCATGAAGGCTGCGACAGTGATTTGTCAGCAGATTTTCTCCATTTTGGCGCTAGTGATTTTCCTTCTAAAAATCCTTTTAAAAAGTGCTTCAAAATCGTCTTTTTTTCGCTCTGGCGTCGAGATCCATCCGGTTTTGGAGCTACAATTTCCGACGCCGTTGCGCGTAGTTCTATTGTGTTTTGCAACTCAGTCTCTGCAGATCGCATTGTAATGGCTGCGTCAAGGTTGCTTCGTGCTGTGGCTGCATTTGTCATACTATTGTCTTTTGCAGCTCGATTCGTAAATCGTATTGGAGTGGCTGCATGAAGGCTGCCACAGTGATTTGTCAGCAGATTTTCTCCATTTTGGCGCTAGTGATTTTCCTTCTAAAAATCCTTTTAAAAAGTGCTTCAAAATCGTCTTTTTTTCGCTCTGGCGTCGAGATCCGGTTTTGGAGCTACAATTTCTGACGCCGTTGCGCGTAGTTCTATTGTGTTTTGCAACTCAGTCTCTGCAGATCGCATTGTAATGGCTGCGTCAAGGTTGCTTCGTGCTGTGGCTGCATTTGTCATACTATTGTCTTTTGCAGCTCGATCTCGTAAATCGTATTGGAGTGGCTGCATGAAGGCTGCGACATGGATTTGTTAGCAGATTTTCTCCATTTTGGCGCTAGTGTTTTTTTGTTGCACGTAGGTTTAGAGCAGTGTGAAGTGTGGGGCGTGAAGAGTGCAGTGTGAAGTGTGCAGTGTGAAGGAAGCAGTGGGAAGTGAGAAGTGTGAAGTGTGGAGTGTGAAGTTTAAGTTTGGAGTGCGAAGAGCGCAGTGTGAAGTGTGAAGTGTGAGGTTTGGAGTGTGAAGGAAGCAGTGAGAAGTGTGAAGTGTGGACTGTGAAGTGTGGACTGTGTGCGTTGTTACGAACCGCACAAAAAACCATGATCGTATTGCATACATGTGAAAAAAACATGCTGTCGTGGGAGCGGGTAAATGCATGGTCTCACTAAGATCCGCTCAATGCTTTTTGCAGCATGGGTTGGATTTTTGTAGTTTGTTGAAAGTATGATTTTCTGGACCATTTCCTTTTTCAGACATCAGACCTCAAGCTGGGTGAG